ATATATATATATATATATATATATATATATATATATATATAATTATTATTATTATTATTATTTTCCTCGGTGAAAGCTAAAAATCCTTCATTAGTACTTTAAAAGAACTTTTTAGATCATTGTGTCTTCACTTTTTTATAATAAGCAACAAAAAGTAAATCAGTTACACACATGCCCTCTTTTTGCTCATGTAAACAAAAGTGGTTGACATTAAAAGGATGGAACAGATCCCCTCAGAAGACAAATTAGATAAAGATTTCTCTCGGATGCTGGACACGTGAAGAACCTTCTGAAAATACTGTTTTGTTTTTGTTTACAAGCACGTTGTGTATTTATCTGTTCCTGCTACTTTTGATGAGAGAATTCTATCCGTGCTTATAAAAGGTTTCATTCTTTTAACTAAAGCAACAACCTCTTGAGGTGAATGAAAAACACAGCGGGCCGCATGGACACGCTTTCAGTCTCTGTCCTACTGAGCACACTTCAGATAAACGTGACGCTCCCTCTTTTTGTGTGATTAATGTGTGTGTGTGTGTGTGTGTGTGTGTGTGTGTGTGTGTGTGTGTGTGTGTGTGTGTGTGTGTGTGTGTGTGTGTGTGTGTGTGTGTGTGTGTTTTGTATATTTACATCATCTCGTCAGTGATGTTAGCGTGACTCACCTCTCGTGGATGGAGGGCTTAGAGGGTGACCTCATCATGTTGGATGAGGTAACTTGTGCTTTTTACATCATGCCGAAAAAAAAGGTGGGAGCAGCCAACATGTAAACACGTGCACACATCCTGTTGCATGTATTATAACACACCGTGCACATATTGTACGCACAAAACAACATGCTGCTTCACTGCAGGAATTAAAGGGAAAACAGGAAAAGTGGTGGGCAGAATACTTCGAAGACCTCCTCAATCCCACCAACACGTCTTCCAGTGAGGAAGCAGAGTCTGGGGACTTTGGGTTGGCCTCTCAAATCTCTGGTGCTGAGGTCACTGAGGTGGTTTAAAAGCTCCTCTGTGGCAAGGCCCCAGGGGTGGATGGGATCCGCCCGAAGTTCCTTAAGGCTCTGGATGTTGTGGGGCTATCCAACTGGACTGGCAGACCGGGGTGGTGGTACCATTATTTAAATCAAATCAAATCAAAGATACTTTATTAATCCCAGAAGGGAATTAGAGTTTCAGTACACACAATTCAGAGATCAGACATACTGGGCAAGACACATGACAAGAAGGGGAACTGCAGGGTGCGTTCCAACTACAGTGGGATCACACTCCTGAGCCTTCCTGGTAAGGTCTATTCAGGGGTTCTGGAGAGGAGGGTCCGTCGGATAGTTGAACCTCAGATTCAGGAGGAGCAATGTGGTTTTCGTCCTGGCCGTGGAACACTGGACCAGCTCTATACCCTTAGGGGGATACTGGAGGGTGCGTGGAAATTTGCCCAACCAGTTTACATGTGTTTTGTGGAATTGGAGAAGTTGTTTGACCACATCCCTCGGGGGGCCCTGTGGGGGTACTCCGGGAGTATGGGGTACCTGGCCCTCTGATATGGGCTGTTAGGTCCCTGTATGACCAGTGTCAAGAGCTTGGTCCGCGTTGCCGGCAGTAAGTCGGGCTCGTACCCAGTGAGAGTTGGACTCCGCCAAGGCTGCCCTTTGTCAGCGATTGTGTTCATAACCTTTATGGACAGGATTTCTAGGCGCAGCCAAGGTGTGGAGGGCATCCGTTTTGGTGGCCTGAGGATCAGGTCTCTGCTTTTTGCAGATGATGCAGTCCTGTTGGCTCCATCAGAACGTGATCTTCAGCTTACATCATGAAACTGTCCATCTTCACGCCAAGGTTGATTGCCGAAACATCCAAATAGGAGTTCAGTTCACCGCAGTCTACGTTTGAAAAATCAACATGTCCGCTCGGACCAAACAACAGTGCCTCTGTTTTTTTCCCATTGAGACACAGGAAGTTTTCTGCCAACCATATCTTAATTTCTGCCAGACAATCCAAAAAAATTTTATCGTGTGATCACCGGCGCCATCTAGAGGCAAGTACAATTGGCAGTCGTCGGCATAGAGATGGAATCCAATTCCAAACTTTCGGAAAATGTCACCCAATGGGAGAATATAAATTGAAAACAGCAAGGGTCCCAGTATTGAACCCTGCGGTATCCCCCATGGCAGATGTGAGAAGCCCGATGAGAAGCCACCCATCCTCACACAAACCATCCTGTCATGTAAATATGATCTAAACCAGTTTAGGGCTTGCCCAGAAATTCCCACATAATATTCAAGGCGATGGAGCAACACTTCGTGGTCTACGGAATCGAAAGCTGCTGTAAGATCCAATAGGACCAGCAGCACTGGACTGCCACCGTCTGTTGCTAAAAGAATGTCATTAAAGACCTTGATAAGGGCAGTCTTGGTACTACGCAACATTTTAAAACCTGATTGGAGGGTCTCTAAAATATCAAAGTCCTTAAAGAAGTCCATGAGTTGAGTATAGACAGATTTTCAAGCATCTTACCCAAAAAAGGGAGCTTGGAGATTGGCCTATAATTCACTGGTAAGGAAGCATCCAACCCAGGTTTTTTTAAAAGTGGGTGAATAACTGATTCTCGTCTCCACATCGAGAAGAGCCAGTTGAGGTGGCTCAGGCATCTGGTGAGGATGCCTCCTGGACGCCTCCCTGGTGAGGTTTTCCGGGCACGTCCAACTGGGAGGAGGCCTAAAGGTAGACCCAGGACATGGTGGAGGGACCATGTCTCTCACCTGGCCAGGGAACGCCTTGGGATTCCCCCGGAGGACGGGCCCAAGTGGCTGGGGAGAGGGAAGTCTGCGCCTCTCGCCTTAGGCTACTGCCCCCGCGACCTGACTCCGGAAAAGCGGATGAAAATGGATGGATGGATGGATGGACAGGAAAAGCGGGGGTAGATTTTTCCACTGACTTCAGCAGAGGCCAATCAAACAGTAGGTAGCTTCACGTCTGCTCCAATCCAAGCCCATTAGAGGTGATGATGAGCTCACACTTCTCCGCCATTCGAGCCCTGATTTGCTGCCGTTGTGTGACATGGTGAGAGAGGCAGTCTGTGATCTTCACATGGGAGCTTGTGTCACACACACACACACACACACAAAAGCAGGCAGCCAGTTCTGTTTGGGAGGAGTTGGTAGAAAACTGTAGCTGTCCTGTTGCTTTGGCATATGCCAAGCTTCCGCATCATCATCAATTATTCAGCGACCCAGCAGTGTATCTCTTTATCTGAGTGTGTGTGTGTATGTGTGTGCAATATGCTCTCATCGGATCTTTTGGAAGCCACCTTCCTGCCGTTTCTCTTCCAGAATCAGCTTTTCTGCTCCTCTTTCTGGGGCACTGGCACGTATCTGTGGATGTACGCAGGACAGGAACATGGAGCTGTGTTTGTGGACTTGGTGCAGCCGGTTGACTCTGAGCTAAGCTCTAAAGTCTCCTAAGGTGGAGGTTTGTTTAACCATAGAGGAGTTCCAGACTACTTGTGTTTGAAAAAGCCGTCGAGTGCATTTATCGCTCCAACAGAAGGCTTTAAATATTTTTATCCTGTTTTTGGGTCAACTTTTCTTTGTTAATCAAAATGCCTGAAGCAAATTATCTCCTCTCCGTTTCCTGGGGGTATATAAAGGTAAGTTGGTGGATTTTCGTGTTTTCCGACCTGCTGAGATGCGTTTTCTTATTCCTAAGGCTTGATTGCAGTGTTTTAGTAACACAAAAATGCTATAAATAACACCTCACCAACATGTTGCTCGTAAAACAACATTTTTATCTGTGCAGCTGATCCTGATTTGTTATTTTTTTATATATATCTGCAATTAGAGGAGCTGATTTTGTTTGAAATGTGATGTGAAACGTGTTGTCCTAAACCTCAGATAATTATATAATAAAATCACTAAAAAATTAATTTGGACATTAGGTGTTTCAGATGTCTTATTTAATGTGTTTTTCTGGTTTTTAATGTTGATTTTACATGGAATAAAATAGGACTTTTAGATCTTTCCTCATTTTTTTGGGGTCACCAGTTAGATCTGTATTTTTATGACGTAATGAAGACTTTTCTTTTTTTTCTATTGAGCAGGTGATGTAAAAACAAAAAAAAGATTTTTAAATAATTCTTTAACATAGTTTAAAATTATTTTATTAGCATTTTGACTTTTAGTTGGTCATTTTTCTGTTACCAGCTAACATAGATAGAAATATAATGTTTTTTGTGCTTGATGGGAAAAAAAAAACATTTGAAAATTCATCCAATGAATGAGCATTACAACTTCCAATCTATTATTTTGGGATCAGTGCAAATTTGCAGGGAAATTCATCGACCTACAGTCTAATCCGACAATATGGATTGTCTGATCATGTGGGGGCTTTCTTTTTTCTTAATCTTTGATGTTTTGCAACCAGAAAAAAAGAAACCATCCCTAATTTTTAAGCAGATGAGTCTGTTTAGTCTTCACATCAAAGGGCCAGAGCTAAATTTGGGTCTGTCACTTTGGTTAGCATGCGGGAGACGGACGAGCAAATGAGAACAACAAGCTCTCTGACCAGCTGTGTGTGTGTGTGTGTGTGTGTGTGTGTGTGTGTGTGTGTGTGTGTGTGTGTGTGTGTGTGTGTGTGTGTGTGTGTGTGTGTGTGTGTGTGTGTGTGTGTGTGTGTGTGTGTGTGTGTGTGTTTCCCCCAAAAACAATGCCTCTCCTGAGAGAGACTTCTACAAAAGTCTAAACATTTAGCAAATGTACTTGCTTAAAAAAGAAAGTTTGTCTATTTTTCTCACAAAACATTAAAAGTTAAATTAAGATGTGCTTCAGGCATACATTAAACAGGTCAGTTGGATGCAGTTTAATCTGCTTTTGAAGAGTCCTTCTGAAAACTAATTACTCATATTGCCTCTGAGTACCAGCTGTAAAGGTAATTATTTGTGATTCCTCTGCTCTGCACAACAAACTGTCAAACACATCATCCGTGTGTGTGTGTGTGTGTGTGTCCTTATTTCAGTTTAAGAGGATGTTGAATCGGGAGCTGACTCACCTCTCAGAGATGAGTCGCTCTGGAAACCAGGTGTCTGAGTTCATCTCCAACACATTTCTGGGTGAGGGATGACACAGGAATAATTTAAAAATGATGAGTAAGAATAGTTTTATTTCTTTGTGCTCATTGTCACTTTGTTGTCGTTGCAGACAAGCAACATGAAGTAGAGATGCCCTCTCCGCAGACGCAAAAGGAAAAAGAGAAAAAGAACAAGCCCATGTCTCAGATCAGTGGGGTGAAAAAGCTGCAACACTCATCCAGCCTCACTAACTCCAACATCCCTCGCTTCGGCGTGAAGACCGAGACCGAGGATGAACTGGCTAAGGTGTGCTGAGAAACGCAGAAAAAACACAAAGATTAATAGTATTTGGGCTGACTAGTGATGGGGACGAACAAAAAAGGACTTCCTGTCTCTGACTGTGTCTCCATATCTATTTCAGGAGCTGGAACACGTGAATAAATGGGGCCTTAACGTCTTTAAAATCTCAGAGTTCTCTGGGAGTCGGCCACTGACAGTCATGATGCACACAATATTTCAGGTAAAAACTGACTTTTCTGGGATTTTCCCAAGAAATAACCCTTGTTCTTTCTCAAAAACACGACAAAAATGCCCGATTGTGAATCTTCTTGCATTTTTCAGGAGAGAGACTTGTTGAAAACATTTAAAATTCCACTCGACACCTTTATAACGTACCTGATGACCTTAGAAGACCATTATCACAGCGATGTGGCCTACCACAACAACATTCATGCTGCTGACGTCACACAGTCAACTCACGTGCTGCTATCCACCCCCGCCCTCGAGGTGAGGCTTGTGTGCATGCTGTGAAAGCACACATATGCTCCCGGCTCATGCTTCTACAATCAGCATCAATCATAGCTCTGCTGAAAAGTACAATCAAACCCACTCATCCTGCTTGTGCTGTGTTCCTCCTCCTCCCAGGCTGTGTTCACGGACCTTGAGATCCTAGCTGCCATCTTTGCCAGTGCAATTCACGACGTGGACCATCCAGGAGTCTCGAACCAGTTCCTCATCAACACCAGTAAGTGGCAACCATAACTTAGATGCATGCGTAGAGCAATCTATGATAGTGTTCCATCAGGATTTTTCTTTAATGTGTTAAATATGGGATAATGTTTGTGTCAAAATTATCAACCAAAAATTTACTGTCAAAAATGTGAATTTTAAAAGGAAAAAAACAATCACTCTAAACACAAGATGGACTAATTCATAAGTATTTATATTATAGTACAAAATATTTTGTTTTACTTATTAAGTATATATATTTCTTAAACATTCTGGTTTGTATCTCACTTAATTCTGCATTGCTCAGATTAGTTTAGGCTTTTATTCTGAAAGGCGTGTGGAAGTGTTGCAGTTTCATTTATTTTGAGGATGAGGGATTGAATTGAGCTGTTTGCCATGTACAAACACAATAAAAACCTTAACCCTTTATAGAGCGCTCATTGAAGTAGTTACATTTTTTAAATGTCAACCAAATTCAAAATACAGAATGTATCACAATTATTAAACAATATAGTTATTTTTATTAAAACAGATTACTGTAGAATCTTTTTAAAAAGTTATTGAACTTTAGATTCTATTTCTGATCAATGTAGATTTTTTTCAATATTTTATATTTTAGGATCTGCCTCGATGTCATCTTCCTCCCGTTCATCATCATCACTGATGGCGAGATTGGTTAGCGCAATAACTGTCCTCCATTTTCCAGAGAAGTCTTAGGTTAAAACTGCAAAATATTCTATATCATAACTGTTATTATTGCTGTTAAAATTATGTCTAAAAATCAACAGATTTTACCTAAAATATTCGTAATTTCCTTTACTTGTTCAGTGTGTATGTTCAAACATGGCAGATTTGATTTTCATGCTAAACTTTCACCAACTTCATTGAGTTTAATATTTACAACACATATATCCTTATTTAGCACAACTAGTCAAGATGTGAGAGTTTCATAAACCTAGCGTTGCTAGTTTTAGAGATCTGACCGTAAACACAAGACAAGACAGAGCAGTTTTCTGGCTCTTCAGACAACACCAGTATTTGGCGTGTTATAGCCCCGTACTGATTGGTGGAATGGCGCTAACCGTGACTAGCTTGATCTCTGATGACTGTTTGGGTGAAATCCCGTAATTCTGAGAGTTTGTGAAAAGGCACACCAACATCATTTATGATGTGAGTGGAAGTGTCTAAATATAGAAGTTGGCCCTATAAAGGGTTAATGGTCTGAGAAATGCAGAATTAAAGTAACTAGTTTCCAGCTGTTAAGTGCAGTGTCTGGCCAACAGAGGGCTGCAGAGTGGTGTCAAATATGAAACTGGTCAAGTTTCTAACTCAACAATCACTGAGATCAATAGTAGAGCAATAGCTTAAAGTTAAAAATAAAACGAAAAAAAAAAACAATTTACGGTAGTGTTATTTTAAAGAAACAATGTGTAGTTTATCCTGTTAATCTCAGAAAATATTGATCAAAATGAATGAAACGATGCCTAGGTGTTGAAAAATATTGGTGGCTTTGTACCATCTAACCATAAAAATCGGATATAAAATATACGGTCTCTGGAAGATGCCATATTGGATGCCATGTTTCCTTTTACAGCAGCCCATGAGGACAAAACACATTTACTGATTTGAAAAAAACGGTTACAAAACTTTTGCCATTCTAGTGTCAGTGACTTTACAGCAATCCTCACACTAAGCAAGCATATAGCGACAGTGGAGAGGAAAACTCTCTTTTAACAGGAAGAAACCTCCAGAGGATCCTGGCTCAGTATAAGCAGCCATCCACCACGACTCTCTCACACACACACACACACACACACACACACACACACACACACACACACACACACACACACCAAGCAATGTGTCTATGGTTACATTGTGATTGCTTAGTAAATATTCTATTTGGTGAGAGATAAACTTTATTGTATTTATCCTAGTGGATCTATAATTAAACGGATAAACTAGTAGTAGCACATCCAACGTCAAGGAAACAAAAAGTTATTATCAGGAGAGGGAGAATGTTTAAGGGGTTAGCAGCAGTGTGCTAGACGATGGCCCCCTCCATGAGGCCACCACAGCTCAGCAGAACATTATTGTAGCTTCTTGTTCATATTTGTTGTTTTACACATTTACCTCTTCACTTGTTGCCAGTGATGAAAGGGAGTCTGATGTGCTTGTCATTATGCTGAAGGTTGCGCTTCCAGGATTTTTGACCCTAATGGCCATTGGGAAGGTCTTACTCAAACACAAAAATACCGCTTGCTTGCAAGGATTTAGGTATGTACTGCCCCCTATCACCAGGGAAAATACACATCGTCATTTTAAGTGAGAATCAAAAAGGTGTGTCAAAATGAATATTTTGGTTGTTTTTTTTTTACATTAAAATTAGTTTATTTTATTCTTGGAGTGATTTTCCTTTTGCTCCTCAAATGCAATCTGAAAGTTCTGGTTGTTTTAGTTGAGTTAATTTTGGGTGAGACTGTATTTTTTGGTAGATTTTGTTTTGGCAGGAATCTTTTTCCACAGTTAAAGCTTTGACATGTGGTTTACAGACAGGGGGGGGGGGGGGGGGGGGCCTTAAGTTGGTGTTTCCCTGTAACCGAACCTCATCTTTGCAGTTTCACATTTTTATTTGTGCACATACTATAAACTCAAAATCAAGACTCCTGTTACCTCCACTCAAAATAAAAGGGCAAACATTCACAAACTCATGCGGTGGGTAAATTGAGCAACTATCCGAACATGCAGGGGTAGTGGTGCTGTGTTTGTAAAAAAATTTTTTATTTCTCTTTAACTGACTCACCCTCTCCTGACTTGAGGTGCTACATGCATCACCTTAATTTGGCAAAGTGTGAAGCAAAACACTGAATTTGTTTCTGCTGGCCATCACTTTAAACAGCCATTCTCCAGACAAATGTGAGTGTCGCATAATCAGTGTTACTAATCAGCAAAGAAAAACACTGTCAGTCTCAAGCACTTCATGGTTCTTCCCAAAAGCACAAAAAGGAATCCCTGCAGTAGAGACTGTATGAGTCATCCTGGTTAGGAGCCACCCAACCGATCTTCTGTCAACTAAAGTGCAGCAGACAAGGATTCCCCTTCTCGTCTCTGCTGCTCTCATCAACTGCTGCCAACATTAATGTATCTTAATATTCCAAGGACCTTCGACTGGCCCAGAGAGGGGAAAAAATGCTATGTGCATTACTGAAGCAATCTAAAATAATGGTTGTTTCCTCCTGCAGATTCTGAGCTAGCCTTGATGTACAATGACTCATCAGTGTTGGAAAACCACCATTTAGCAGTTGGTTTCAAGCTACTACAAGAGGAGAACTGTGACATCTTCCAAAACCTGACCAAAAAACAACGACAATCACTGCGAAAGATGGTCATTGACATCGTAAGTAGAGAAAAAAAGTAACGTTCAATTCTTCTTAGACTTGGATTCTCAAATGTTGGTGCTCTACGTATGGTTATTGATGCATGTGGGCAGAGCGCCAGCACTGCTAATAGGCCTGGTAAAGTCAGGAGTCACTGACAAAACTCTGCAACATGAGAGTCCTCCAGGCCAAACAAGTCAAACTCTTGATGGGTGGGTCAGAGACTCTTGACTTTAATGGTCCTGGTAAAAAGAGACCATAGTACACTGACCTATACGTCTGGAACTCCTAGAAGAAGCCTATTTGGATGAGAGGTGAAACATCTACAAGTAACAAGAGAAGTCCTCAAAGGCCACTATCCAGCATGTTTTAGTGAGTAAGTAAGGAAGTAAATTTCAATTCGATTCAAAAATACTTTATTAATCCCAGAGGGAAATTGATTGCTGTAGTTGCTCAGAATAATAATAATCAAGTCATCAAAGAGTTGTTGTATATTACAATGGCTGTTGGCAGGAAGGATCTCCAGTATCGGTCAGTGTTGCAGCGAAACTGAAGAAGCCTCTGACTGAAGACACTCTTCCGTTGTCGGACAGTCTTGTGAAGAGAATGCTCAGGGTTGTCCATCATTTTCTTGATTCTCTGGAGAATCCTTCTTTGCATTATCTCCTCCAGCGGTTCCGAAACTGCCGAAACCCTGGCTGAGTCCTTGAAAGGACGGAATTCCTCCGTCTTGTTGGCCAGTGATCTCACATTGCCCATTATGATCGATGGAAGAGATGGTTTGAATTTCCTCTTTCTCTGTCTCCGTTTTGCTCCCGCTCTACATCCACGCTTCTTGCGTTTTAGCTCATTTGGGATTTGTGGCTTCGGTTGAGGTATTATTTCAGCCTTTCCAATGTTAATCAGCTGCTCCCGATTGTAAACCAGCTTGTTGCCGTGGTTATGCATCATAACAAATGCTCAAAAAGTGAAAACAGCTTAAAAAAAGCTGTAAAAATCCTCCAAGCTTCACAGCACCAGAAACAGAAAAGTAAAGTGTCCAAAAAATACCGTTTTTCTTGAGAAACTAGAAGAAAAAATGTCCAAGAAAAGGCAAAACTTACCTATAGTCAACAGAGCTACTCCAACATGCAGCCACCCAGAGCAGCGCAGTTCCGATAAGATTAGTTGATTTCTATATCACACTTACCACAGAAATAAAAATCACAAAGTGCTTCACAAACATCAAAATTAAAGGTGTGGCAGAGGATGTGTCTGAATTTCAGGAAAGAACGGCCCGCATTTTGAAATAAATGTGCATGAGAGAGAATGCCCAGTAGCTGCCGGACTTGCAGCTGTCTTCTTCTAGCAGTCTTCTGAAACGAACTTCCCCAGATTGCATGCCAAACTTTAGCTTACCTGTCGAGCAGAAAACTGGTGACAAGAGGCGTATGTAAGGAGCCCAACTGCCACTTTGTGAATGCGCAAGAAGTGAAAACTACCCAGCAATAAGCACATCTGCCTTTCGTGAATGGTTCACCAGAATGATTGACAGTTATGCGGGCCGATGGTTCAGATGATCCACCCGGAAGAAAAACATCATCCATTCTACCTTTAAGACAAAGGAAGTTGGTAGCTGGTCTCTGGCCAAGCAATCGGCTGGCATTGTGAGACTGTCAACAGCACTATCAAACAAGAGCTTTTCGCCGTCTCACTACTCAAGAGGTTCTGACTTAGTTCAAAGATTGTCGGCACTCTTAGGCCCCCTGACCAAGGAGCCCCAAGCAATTGCCTGCCCTGTCTGTTGGCACCTGGCACCTCTGTCCCTGCTCTAAACCATGCTTGATAACGACCCTTGAGGACTAGGTTTGGACCCCACTGATCTTCACGAACACTAGAAGAATCCAGAGTACCATAAGTGGTATCTGTGTCACAGTTTGAGAACTATGATTCTTAAGATATTTTTGTAAAAATTCTCATGTTGACAGCCCTGTCTCATAAATCAAGACCACGTTTAATTTGATGTATTTTGGGCATTTCAAGGTGCTAGCAACGGACATGTCAAAACACATGAATCTGCTGGCTGATCTGAAAACCATGGTGGAAACGAAGAAAGTCACCAGCTCTGGTGTGCTGCTGCTGGACAACTACTCCGACAGGATACAGGTGAGCCTCTAAACTGGGTCGTTCTTGGATTTCAACTGGGCCCAGCTGTAAGATGACTAATTGTAGCCACTCAAGACAATCTCTTTGCTCTTACTAAAAATATCCACCTACTCTCATATGGGATTCCACAAACTAGGTTTGTGATGCATTATTTGTTGTTCACAGGTTCTCCAGAACATGGTTCACTGTGCAGACCTGAGCAACCCTACAAAGCCTCTACAGCTGTACAGACAGTGGACAGACCGCATCATGGAGGAGTTTTTCAGCCAAGGTGATCGAGAAAGGGAAAGGGGCATGGAGATCAGCCCCATGTGTGACAAACACAACGCCTCAGTGGAAAAGAACCAGGTACAGGCGGCACATCACACCCATTTCCTATCAAAACCTTCAGGTAATTTTATTGGACCTTCCCAGAATGCATGTGCCTCTATTTCACCGGTCTAGCCCAAAAGGTTCACACTCCGGGCGATTTCAGGGGCTGACCGAGTACCTGAATTGGGGTATGTTCTCTGAAATGGCTCGGAAGAAGAAGAAGAAGATATCATTTCTATAGCGCCTCTCAAGATAAAAATCACGAGGCGCTTCACAAAAACAAAAAATATAAAAAAGAATTTAGAAAATGATTAAAAATATATTTAAAATGAGCAAAAAATAGACAATTGTGATTAAAAAATGTTAAGAAAGAGAGAGAGTGAACAGGAAAGAGGGAAATCAGTGGATCCTGAGGAAGGTGGAATAGGTGGGGAGAGCAGAATAAAGAGAGAGTGGTGAAGAAGGTCATACAAAAGCCAGCTTGAACAAGTGAGTCTTCAGCTGCTTTTTAAAGGAGACCACTGAGTCCACTGATCTCAGGCTCAGGGGGAGAGAGGTCCAGAGTCTGGGGGCCACAGCAGCAGATGATCTGTCACCTTTGGTCTTTAGCCTGGTGCTGCACAACCAGTAGGCTTTGATCACTGGACCTCAGGGACCTGCTGGGGGTGTAGGGACTAAGAAGATCACCAATGTAAGATGGTGCTTGTCCATGTAAGGCCCTATAGACCAGAACCAGGATCTTGAAATGAACCCTGAAGTAGACTGGCAGCCAGTGAAGCTGAAGGAGAAGCGGGGTGATGTGGGTGTGTTTGGAGGACTTGGTCAGAAGCCGAGCACAGGCATTCTGAACCACCTGTAGACGGTTCAGGGAGGTTCTGCTCAGACACGTGAAAAGAGAGTTACAGTAGTCTAAGCGTGAGGAGATGAAGGTGTGGAGAACAGTCTCAAGTTCAGAGCGGGACAGAATGGGACTCAGCTTAGCAATGTTCCTGAGATGGAAGAAGGAAGAGCGAACAAGAGAACTGACATGAGAATCCAGGGTGAGAGCTGGGTCAAAGGTCACGCCAAGATTCCTGACAGAAGGTTTGGTGTGAGAAGCAAGCTGACCAAGAGAGTCTCTGACTTTGGGAACCAGCTTGTCTGGGGCACAGATGAGGATCTCGGTCTCAGTCTCAGATCTCGGTAGTCACTGGGCATGACTTGTAGTTAACTCATGTTGATTGGTTGTTGCTCAGTAGGAAATCATTGTAGCAGATTTAAAATGGGAAGAGTTGCTGTTGAAGCAGAATAGAACCAAAATAAAACAAGCAGCATTGACATATAAAAATCATTTCTAAACTCCCAACATCCAAAAATGCGGCGGAAATCCCCCCCACAATGCTGTAATTCACTCTGCATGGTGGTATTGTTTTCTGATCAGCTTTTTGCATCACACAGCCACCCCCCGAGTCCCCTGAATGGATGAAATCATGGCGTACATTGACAGAATAAAACTTTAACGTTATTATTGTCACTGTCATTCGCAACCGAAACCTTCGCGGTATGCAGGAACTTCGGAATTCCTATAGTGGAAACACGGCTGTCGACTTATGTTTATGTTTATTTATTTGGCAGACGCTTTTATCCAAAGCGACTTACAGTTTATAACTTATAGGGCATGTTGTGATCTGTGGGGAAAACTGGAGTACCCGGGGAGAACACGCAACTCCACGCAGAAAGGCCGCAGCCGAGTTTCGAACCTGCGACCTTCGTGCTGCGAGGCAACAGTGTCCAAAACTGTGCCACCATGCAGCCCAGACACCACAGACATCTTCCACAAAAAAACAACGTGAACATCCTGCTTTCTCTTCTCATTTCCTGCAGGTTGGCTTTATAGACTATATCGTCCACCCTCTGTGGGAGACGTGGGCTGACCTGGTTCACCCGGATGCCCAGGACATCCTGGACACGCTAGAAGACAACAGGGAGTGGTACCAAAGCACTATCCCCCAAAGTCCATCTCCTTCTTTGGACGAGCCGCAGGATGGCACTCGACCCCCTGGCGGGGACAAGTTCCAATTTGAGCTCACTCTGGAGGAGGACGGGGAGTCGGACACTGAGAAAGACAGTGGCAGCCAGCCAGAGGAAGAGGAGGAGGAGGAGGAGGAAGAGGAAAACAGCTGTACGGACTCTAAAACCCTCTGCACGCAGGACTCTGAATCTACAGAGATTCCTTTGGATGAACAGGTGGGGGAGGACGACGACGACGAAGAAGAGGAGGTGATAGAGGTGGGGGAAACCCCCTGCTCACAGCCGTGTGTCGTAGAGGAAGATGTGGTGGAGGAGGGGGAGGAAGAGGAGGAGACATGTCCCGACACATAGCAGTTATGGACAGCACGTGATTAGCTGCTCTTCTTAGTAATGACAGATTATTATTTATAGAATATTTTTGGGGGGTTTTGTGAACTCTGTGTTTTTTATACGTTAATGTTTCTGGTTCCAAAGCGTGCGCTGCTCTTCACCTTTTGGCCACTCCTCTCGTCAGCTTTATGTAGACATGCCCATCGGTACTACTTCAAATTTTTTTGCACTCAGGAAAACTCCTTTTTCATTCCCATTTGTACTGACGTGGTGTGTCTTTCTCCCTCGCGGACTTCTGTCATTTATAACCTCGAGTTTAGGACGCGGACGCGCAGTTTCCGTCCGCTCTGTGCTGCTCGTAGACGGCATCCCTCTCCGCCTTTCTGCTTTGTCTCAGCCTTGCCAGAACGTTCGGTGATGTCTTTATGTTCTAATAAGTGCCGATAACTCTAAAGACACAGTTATTGGTGAGGATCTCCCTGTTGGTTTGCTCATATTCTCCCGCTAGGATTTAGGAAGCGTGTTGACGCTGCAAATGCAGCACAACATGGGAATTTTTGATGTGGACGTCTTCCTTGAAAACATGACTGACGAAAAGCTTCAATCTGAAAAGCTACCATGCTGTCCTACACCTCTTTTGTCCTTTTTTTTTTTGGTACTGTATTTCTAGACTTTTACTTTTGCAAACTAACATTTTCTTTTAGTTAAAAGGAAAAAAAAAGAGAGAAAACATTTGGAGACCAACAAGGAGAAGATGGGTGTTCAGATATTTTTGCACTTGCTCCAATAGCATTAACTCTACTATACCCATACCACTACACTCTAAACCAGTCCTGTAGCATAACCAACATTTGTTTTAGAGCTTTCTCTAAGATGGTAGATGAAACTTGTGGCTTTTTGTTTTGCTGTCGCTGGAATCGTTCACGAACGAAGCCCTTAAGTTATCGTTGCCTGTAGTTCTTTTGAAGACACTCCGCGACAGTGCATTGCTTTGTAGTAACAGTACAAAAAGCACATTTTAGAGGTTTAATTAGCTCTCCACGTGTTTGGAAATAGCTTTGATGTAAAAATGGTTTACCCCTTCTTTCCACTGGACGTGAAAGCGTCACGAAAATGCTGCAAAACGTGTCACGCTGAAATTAGCCGTCGTTATAGTGGACAGGGTCCTTTCCATCGGCAGCTACGTGTAACGTTCTGGATGCGACTCAGAAGGGAAGGGATGTTATCATCATGTCACAAGTCTGTTTTTATGCACTACGCTTCCAAAACACATCAAACTCCGCAGTTTAGATTGAGCCTGGCAGGAATGGTAAATGGTCTGTATTTGTATCGCACCTTCTAAAGCTTGGTTTATGCTTCATTTACTTTCCGCTTGGTGAGGCGGCTCGCGGATGGAACGCGCTTCACAACTCGCAGCGTTTATGGTTCACGCGGCTTGTCTCTGCGGTGAGCCAAATTCTCCCAAACTGTAGGGGGCAGCATGGAGCTCTACGGCATGCATCCAACACTACACCATAGTAGAAGTAAAAATTACTGTTTACAACACGGCATTCCAGCATTTTTAACAGCATCCTCGTCTTTTCCGACAGTGCGAGCTATTTCTCTCCAAGAATTATTAACAACATGATGATCACGGCGATCTTTGAGAGCTGAATCATACAAATGTCTGTATTTACGAACCTCTGCCATACTAGTTCTTGCCAGTCCACCATGTTTTTCCATGTCCGACCGTCCGCGTGGTTGGAAAATTTCCTAGGTGTGCGGTGCGGAAATTTTGGGCCGTGCGGAGGCGCGGTGGAGGGGTGTGGTTGTTAAAATGACGCAATTTCGCCGTGCGGACCTCGCGGACCAAGCATAAACCAACCTTTAGGGTTCTACGACCCCCAAGGCGCTTTACAACACAATCAGTGACCCACCCATTCACACACACATTAACACGCTGGTGGTGATGAGCTACGATGTAGCCACAGCTGCCCTGGTGCGCACTGACAGAGGTGAGGCCTGCCATACACTGGTGCCACCAGTCCCTCAGAGTGTCTTGCCCAAGGACACAACAGCAGCATTCTCTGGTGGGAGCCGGGATCGAACCTACAACCTACCGATTACTGGACAACCCGCTGTACCTCCTGAGCTACTGTTGTCCCAAAGGAAGTCAAACACCCAATCAGTGTAAAACACCCGGAGACTTTCAGAATAAAAGTCACGCGCAGTAGTCACATGTATTTCCAGTGAATCTTCTGCAGCTGATGTAAAGAGAACAGAAGCCTTTCTGGATGCACGCAGCTGTTATTCTCCCTGCTTGTTATTGTGTGGACTTCTGAAATCACGTGTTGTCTTGCAATTCCACATGACTTTGTGACCTCACGGGATCAGCTGTTTGGAACGCTTTCGCTCCCGTTTCATGTCAGAATCGCCCCTGGTTGGGAATGAGCTCATGGGTAACACACAGCTTTACAATGCTTTCACGTCCAGCGTAAAGAAGGGTTAGGGTTGATTTTATAACAACTTTCCGTCACTCATTTAGCTGAATTTAACTTTTCCATCCATCCATCCATCCATTTTCTGAACCCGCTTGTCCTCGTGGTCAACGGGCAGTCAGGCGGGGTACACCCTGGACAGAGTGCCAGTCCATCACAGAGAGACACACAGGACAAACAATCATGCACACACACACACTCACACCTAGGGACAATTTAGACAGACCAATTAACCTAACAGTCATGTTTTCGGACTGTGGGAGGAAGCCGGAGTACCCGGAGAGAACCCACGCATGCACAGGGAGAACATGCAAACTCCATGCAGAAAGATCCCAGACCAGGAAGCGAACCCAGGACCTTCTCGCTGCAAGGCAACAGCTCTAACCACTGCGCCACCGTGCAGCCGAACTTAACTTATTTCTATCGTATTTATATTCATTTACCCATTCTACCATATACTCTAGTTCATTGTCTTTGTTTTCAACAAGACAATCAGCTCCAGAGCGTAGTTCTCACTAAGGCGTGGATACTCTTAATGCACTTATTTAATCATTAAACACATTAAAAAATCATATTTTTTCCCACTCATTCTTAAACACGGTCATAAGCATTAGGCATAAAAATAGTTTTTCATAATTTACACCTTCATCACTTAAACCTGATGTTATTACTTATTGGTATATTTTTCTATATGTTGTTTTGTAACATAAAGGTGGTACAGTTAAGATTTCATAGACCACATAACAGGCTTGCCAGTTAGAAATAACCTCGAATTACTTTTATCCCCCTGTACATAATATATTTTAGAATAAAAATCTACTAATGTAAAAAAAAAACTTGAAATACTGCACACAGCTTTTTAAAGAGTTCTTGTTTTAAATATATGCCATTTTAATTTAACTTTCAATTTGTGCCAATACTTTTTTTTCCATCCTCACCCAATGCCCTTACCTGTAATAACAAGAAAGAAAATCCTGTTTTTTGTTTTGCTGTTTACAAGCATATATTTATTGTGCTGTACATAATATATAATTCTTAATGTTACTATCATAATGCAGTTTGCTGTAAATGGTTCATTCTTATCATCCCTTTTGGTGATGGCGTGGCTGTATTATGTACCTCTTGTTGAGATAATGTTTATTACACAGGAGCGTCGGTGTAAAAACGATCTGTCAACCTGTTGCTTAGCTGAGAACTAGCTCAGAGGGGAGAGAGGGAAAGCCAAAATGTTAATTTTTTTAAGACGCTGTTCCTTGGCCCATGGGCTGTGCCTTAAATTCAATACATCATTTATTTTAGCCTTTTTTTAATTGATATTCTCTAGTTCTCCTCTGCTGCATTGGTGAATCTTTTGTCCTGGGGTGGCCTGACATCACCTGAAGAAGAGTTGCCTTTTCATTCTCACAGCCAAACAGAAATGGGTGCAGAGGTCTTCGGAAGGTTCGGGTCAACCACAAGTCAAAGATTTACCACACGAGTGATTGCGGCCTACACCCGAATGTCCAAGAGCTGTAGTTGCTGGTGACTTGGTCTGACATCACTCACACTTTTTACTCCACGCTCAAAATGCTCTTGACACGTGAGCGATTGGTCTAGATTTGTTCTGACCGCCGCTCCAAACACAGAATCTTGGTGCAGCAGTGGAATGTGTGTGTTTGGTTGCTCGGCCATGGCCCCTACGAAGCACAGAGGCTTTGAGACACGCCTGCATGTTCAGCCACTGCTGCATTAATTACGGCTGAAACACTGACGGCGTGTTGCTCATCTATGCTCGGCCCACGTGCTCACTCGCATTACCTGCAATATCCTAAAACCACTCGCATGTTTCTGCTGGGACAGAGGAGGGGTTTGGTGTATTTCTGTACTGATTGGGGGGTGGACTGCATCATTGTCCTGAAACCAGGACTCTTATTTTGACACACATACTGTAGATTTGAAACAGCCCTGGACCAATGGAAATAGTGGGTTCTTTTTCCATTATCTGTTCTATTTTTTACGGTTTGAAAGGAAAAACTGTAACTTTAGAGAAAACACGATCCAAACAAAAAAAAAAGGACTTCAGGACTATTGTTTTTGAGGGTTTTTGTCTTTAGAATGCCAACTTGTCTGGACGTTTCACAGGACAATTAAAATGTTATTTTACTGGATTCCTTGTCAATCACAGTCTATTGGATAGCACTGTAGATCATACGACTTTATCTAAAAAAACAATAAAATGAATTTAAAAAGTTTTTATATGCAATGGAAATATTTTAAAAGCATGGGTTGATTCTGCCTACTCGCTGGCTGTGTGTTGCCTTTTTATTACAGCAACGATAATGGAGTTTTGTGTTTGACTCTTGAGTTTCTGGTTTCAGTGTGGGTTATTTTTACTTCTGCTTATAGAAATAGATATAAAAGTTTTTTTTAAATGTTATATTATAGTATTTAGGCCTTCTCTGTACTTTCATCAATGCTCTGCAGCTCGCCTCATTACTGGAGAGAGAACAAATTACTCCGATTCTTCAACAGCTACATTGGATGCCAAAAGAAACCAAGATTACATTTAAAATTCTCCCATTTTAAGTGTATTCAGAGTCTAGCCTCGTCTTTTCTGTGTGACATGCTCAACATCTCAACTTCTTCCCGTTCTCTAAGATCACGCTCAGGTCTTCATCGTGTTCTTCCTCGTGGTCGTTTTACCACCGTGGGGTGCAGAGCTTTCAGCCACAGGCTCCTCGGCTCTGTACCTTACTTTCCATAATCATCAGGAACGCAGTTTCCTTTTCCCTATTTAAGAGACAACTCAAAACACTTCTGTTCAAGCAGGCATTTTTGCTTTGGATAGAGATTTTAACAGATTTGAGCTCTTTTACACTGCTTTGCTTATAACTGTAGCATTAATGTTTGTTTTAAACGTTCTTATATTTGTTTTAAGGGGGCCTCGGGTCTTAGAAAGGTGCCCTAAAATAAAAAGTATTATAATTATTAGTATTCTTATTATTAATTTTTATTATAGTTTTGCATAAAAATGAACTGCAGTAATCACATTTGACCACAGGATGTCAGTCTTACAAATTGTACCTTTAAGTGGCGTCAACTAGTTCCACTAAACCTAGTTGCTGAAATGTAAAGGTATACATTTACTTTTTGTAAGAATGTATGTTACTCTAGGTTTAATGTAAGTAAATAAAGTTTATTTACATAGCACTTATCACAGAAATAAAAATCACAGTGTTTCATAATGAACAACACTAAAAGATCATAAAGTCAAAAACAACAGAAGGTCATACGTACATTATTCAGATTAAGAAAACGCAAAAGATTTAAGTAAAAGCAGTTCAAGATGAAAGGGTCTTCGGTTGCTTTTTAAAGTGGACCAAACAGTCAATACTATGTAAGGATAAAGGAAGTTCATTCTAAAGTTGGGATGTCGGGATGCAACAGCCAGGAAAGAGCGACCACCTCGACTTTTACATCTGGTCTTTGGAAATTCTAGAATTTTCTGGTGTGTGGACCTGAGGGCTCTGGTTGCAGCATACGGCTTTCACGGTTCAGTAGTATAGGGAGGGGTTTGACTGTGTAGAGCCCTGAAAGTTCTTGCTAGGATTTCAAAATGAACTCTAAAGTTAACGGGTAACCAGTGCAGAGACATCAGAATAGGAGTGATGTGTGCTCTTCTGTTTGCTCCAGTTAGGAGCCTCGCTGCAAAGTTCTAGACCAACTGAAGGTGGTCAAGGGCTTTTTTGTTAAAATGTTACAGTAATCTAGATGGGAGGAGATAAAGACATGGAGAACCATTTCAAGTTCATGTTTTGACACCAACCTTCACAGTTTGGAGGTTTTTCTCAAATACTAAAAAAAGTTTCAGACCTGTTTTTTGAGTGGCTTCTTATTGGTCAAAGCAACACCCAAGGAGGAACCACGCTCTCAGGGGGCAATGATCAGACATTTAGTCTTGTCAGAGTTTACCTGAAGGAAGTTATCTTCTAGCCAGCCGGTGAAAGCTGATAAGACTCTCTAGTAGTTCAGTTTACAAAACTCAGAATCCTTAAAGGAGCAGAACAGCTGAATGTCATCTGCATATAGGTGATAGAAAACATTATGAAATGAATGAATTATCAGTCCAAGAAGGTTTAGATACATAGTAAAAACAGGAGTGGACCCAAAACAGACAATCTGTTACGACCCTGTAGGTCATTTTGTGGCTAATCAGGGCAGTCCACCTGAAACACCTTGCTGATTGGGGTAAGGTAGAACACCTGATCCCTTCCAGGCAGCTCTCCCCCACAGGTAGGCTGCTGCCACATTTGGGCTCAGTTTGCACCTTTTTGTTTTACCTCTATTTTTACAGGTTAATGCGAGGTCACGTTGGTGAAATAAATTACAGTTTGTAACTTTCGTAACTTTTACATGCTGTATTGGTACGGTTAAGGTATGGTGTTAGTAATACTCTTTTGCTTTCTTTAATTTCTTACTTCAGTCATCTGAACACCCTCAACTTGGTGCCTTGTTATCCTTGATAGGTTCACATCCCTAACTTTGTGAACTGCTGTTCTATTAATAATAATAATAATAATTTGTTTGGTTTTCATTTATTCCAGAAAGAGGAAAACACTTGTATCAGATATGTTTTGGGAAAACTTTCCGAATGAATGCTTCTCAAATAGTCTCAAGCCTCACAATTAAAAACATTTTTTGTTAATCTACAAAATAAAAATACAACAAAGAACTAATGGGAAATGAGTAGAAATTAACCTGCAGTCAAATCAAAACATTTTTTTTTACCTTCTGACGTGCAAAATAACAGTAACAAAAAATTGCAACCTGAGAATTGCTGGTTTAGGTATACAAACAAGATTAATGAGCTAATTTAAATGAGCTATACTCAACTTTACTCACCGTTTATGATTATTCTTGTGCTTTTATGAAAATTGTGGCAGAATGATTTGGATTTTGCTCTGGCTGGAGAATGAAAAAAAAATAAAGGATGAACTGCTGCCTAACTGACATTTGGGGGTGCTGTTGCCTTGAAATAAATCAACTCTTGTAGCAAACGCAGGCCATTTCTAAAATATGTAGCAACATTTCATCCCATCTCCTCCATTATGTCTCATTGTAGTCAATGAAAACCAGAAAACAGAAGACACACACCTTTGATAGAATTTGAATTTATTTCCTATAATCTCAAAAACATACTTTTATTTTTACTTCATTTGCACTCCAAGAAATATAACTAGTAATGTGTAAAGTTTCCTAAAGCAGGTTTTCTATCCGATTGTTTGACAGTCCTTATTCTTTTCCTTGAAATGAATCTTGGATCTACTATAATTGGTTCCATGGCGACAACTATCACACACTTACAGATGCTAACACACAGGTCACGTGTTCAAACACATGTGCAGAATCTGAACTTGTTTCCCTTTTAAAATTATTATTTTTCTTTAATATAGACTTTTAACAGTACAGTGTATGGCATGGACTATGTTATCTCCCTGACTATCTTCACAATAACACTGCATTTGACAAGATAATAGGACAGTCGACGTCCAACAGATAGCAGGAACAGCATACAGCACGCAAATACAGTTGTACAAAAGGTATACACAAACACTTTATAACTGTAATTTATCTCTGCAATATGGCAGGTAAACACGCACACGCTTACACACACACACGCTTGCACACACGCCTGCACACACAATTGAGTCACTCGTTCCACTGACCCTTTTTCAGAGAGCATGCAATATCTTCAGAACCACCTACCTTCACTCTCACACAACAGACAGGAGCAATCGAACTCCAGGACAGAAACTATTTACATAATTTAATTCATAAAATATTGCACTTATTGGCCCTTTTGCATCTCATAGCAAGTGCTATGAAAATGCTTCTAAATCTGTTACACAGAGTGATATAATTATATACAGTGTCTTATTATATAAATCTACACGGACGGGTGAGGACGGACTTCATGCATTTTTTTCTGATTTTATTCAACTATGCAACAAACAAAATTCATGAAAAAAATGATTTGGCACAAAAAGTTTTGTATATATTTCAAATAAAATAACTGATTAAATGTGGACTTTTCATGAAAGAGATTAGTTTGTCTGCAGAAGGGTGTGTTTCTAGGATTTATAAGCAACTTATTGATTTTTTTGTTTGTTTCTTCAAGAAGGGGTTTAAGTTTTGCAGCACAAAAGCATGCTGACTCAGAAATTATGGCTGTTTATTCCATGCCAGAACACATTTGTTTGAAACACTTGATTGTGCTTTGACAGCATGAGAGTTTCATTAAATGAAGTCACATGGATCAGGGGATGTAGACTTTTGGTTATGGTCTATTAGATAAAACAGCACGTTTGTTTCATTCATTTTTGGCAACATGCTCTTTTCATCAAACTGGAAAAGCTGAGGATGACAACCGAGTTGCTTTTAAGATTTTCTGGTGTTATTACAGAAACCAAGAGGGAGAAATCATACTTAAACAGAATGGATTCATTCCAACAGAACAGAGGGACTTACAGAGGCCATGTTTAATTCTAAAAGGCCACTTTTTTGCCCCGAAGGTAGATGATTTAATTTTTTCTTTTCTATGATGGTATTTTGACGTCACACTCATGCATATTCACACTCACTTACTGTACAGAAAAAAGAAAAAGCCGCTACATCATCTAGTTGCTGTAAATCAAAAAGATCTGGCAGCTACATGAGGTTAAATAAAAAAAAAGGCATTTAAAGGAAAATTCACACCTCACAGAGAAACTGATTCATTGAAGCACTCACTGATTCTATCTCTTGTGGTCTTAAAGAGTTTAAAGGTCTTACCTGTGCAGGATGAGTAAGAACGATTTAACCCTGCCAATCACATAAGTGTATTACCATTTCTGTAGCTGAATAATGAGAATATCGTTCCGCTATGTTCTAGCTAACCTGTGATGTTGCACGTTTTACATTAGCTGTGACTGTTTTTCTGGTTATTTGCTCGTTATGTATGGTGATAAAGTCAGGAGATAACGCGACAGCCTTGTTTGTTTGTTCTTTTTTTTCAATTTTTTTATTTTTTGCTGTTTTACTACAGAAGAAAAATTTGAACTGCAGTCCGGAGAAGGCAGTACTAGCAGAGTGATAATGCTGCTCACTCTACCACCCATCAGGATGTGTGCTGCTCTGAGGCGTCGCTCACTAACAGTTGCATGCGGGTTGTTGGAGTGGGGGAGCGCTGTCTGTCAGTTTGGCGGTGGGGGCTCCCGTGGTGACAGCCGGATCAGTGTCCAGGCTCTCCGACATCTTGTCACAAATGAGATCGACTAGACGTTCAAAGGTCTGCTTGACGTTGATGTTGTCCTTGGCGCTTGTTTCAAAGAACTCAAAACCTTTGGGTAAGAGCATAAACAATGAAATATAGGCAGGATAGGCATGTTTGTGTCCATTTGATATTAAAGGTGAGGTACAAAGTGGTTTTCTGGATAATTTTTTGCCAGATAGCTCATTCATCACATACTGATGACAACCAATACATTAAAGTAATACAAGATAGTTTTTAAACTCTAAGCTAGAGCTTTAACATTGATCTCAGTGATTGTTGGGTTAGAAACTTGCCCAATTTCATATTTGACACCGCTCTGCAGCCCTCTGCTGACCAAAAACCACACCTGATAGATTTGTGGAGTGGGTAGTGTCCTGGGGGGCACTCTATACCTGCTTTATGGCTGTTAACTGTAATGCTAGCAGTTAGCATTTTCAGTTTAATGATCATCAATAAAAACACAAGAAAAAGAGAGAAAAAAAGAAATTTTCTTTTTCTGTTGGCATCATGACAGAGCCTGAAAGTGAAAATAAGAGAGTATTGTCTTTGGAGGTGAAGCAAAGAGCTAAAACCAGAGTGAACATGAGAGTGGCCTATGCTAGTTTGAGGAAGCTAAAGGAGGCTACATGTGTGTCCGAATCCACGGGTACAAAAGTACAGACTCATGGTGGCTTGGCTTTGTTGCTACTGGACTTGTAAGTAATGATATTTTTCTCCAACAATGTGAATATTTTAACTTTGTGGTTTATCTTTGTATTAATTGGCTCATGTTGGTGTTAGCTCGCTGTTAGCGCTAGCTACAGCAGGCTGCAGCAGGGTTGTTTACGACAGCTTTAATTTCACTTTCAACCAGTAGGGTGGAGGAGCAGGAAACTGTCTAGTATTATTTTAAAAGTTTTGTCAACAAATTAATTATTTTCTTTGTTACTGAAGTATAAAATCCTGGAAAAATTGTATCCAATCATAGAGATCGTCCTGTTCTCATAGATTGGATCATGATCTACCCATCAAACTGCCCTCTGTCCTCTGTTTAATAAGTTTAATATATATGTATATATATATATATATTTATATATACATACAGAGAGAGAGAGAGAGGGGGGGGGGGGGTTTATATAGCGCTTTTAAAAACTATTCAAAGATTATTTAAAAAATAAGGGGAAAAAAGCAGGAAAGAAAACTAATCAGACAAATAATTAAGATAAATTAATGGGGTTAAAGGCCTGGTAAAAGAGGTAATTATTCAGCAGTTTTTTTTTATTTCTGAAGTGAAACAGAAGCACAGAAATGTTGCGAGAGTGAGTTTCAATAGGGTGGGAGGTTTATTCACGTCTATGTGCACTAATGGCGTGTTCAGGGCTCAGAGTAGCTAAACAGGAAGTTATACTTGAGTCAGCCTTGCTAGTGCAATTGATGAAATGTTCCTTTCTGTCAGAACATTTAACTGAAGGAGAAAGCTGAGCATAACTGAAGAGGTTTGAAGCTGGTTTTGGAAGTTTTACCTGTTGTTCGTGGTTTTTGGTCGCTGACCCAATTTCTAAATTGTAGCTTGCTTGGATTACTTTCTCCAAAAGCATACACTCTACCTTTAAGTGTAAGGCTGGTGTGTGACCTACCCAACTGTTCTGCCAGGAGTCTGCCACTATCCACCGAGACAACTCTCTCCTCCTCCATGTCACACTTATTGCCAGCCAGCACCACCTGTGCATTATCCCATGAGTAGGTTTTTATCTGGGTCGACCTGTACAAAACACACACACACACACACACATTAATATCACAGCTCTGTTTCATTTTGTGAAACTGTCTTTCAAACAAAAAGATGGAAGGCAGGAGAACTTGATGTAATTCTCGTTCACCATTTGGACCGGTCAAGGGCAGCGATTACATCTCCGTTCCCTTGAAACATCTGAGTCACTGAATGCATCACTAGAAAAGTGGGTCACTTATCTCTGTACTGACAATATGCAACGATTTCATGCTCAGACGTTTTGTTTATGCGCAATAGATGCTTTTCACACTTCTGTGTCTGAAGCTGTCAGACTGCTCAGGACTTTTTTTATCATTAAGGGATAATTCAAAGGTTTTGCCACTTGCTCTTAATGATTTATGTGGATTCTGTTCATTTCACACACAAACAAAATGAGCATCATGTTTTTCTAGGCTTTGAAAATCCAATTTATTGAAAGAAGCTGTTTTTTAATGTTCTGTGACAGACTTTTTAAGAATCTGCCGTTAGGAATAAAGATGGATGATTGTCAGATTTTACGTTAAAACATTTTTCAAAATGTTTACTTTGGGAAAGAACGATCTAGGTGAGCAAATAAAATTTCTACTTTTTTGTCTTTTAGTCTTTAGACTTTTGCCGAAGCTTTGATTGTTTACACTGATTAAAGTCAACCAAGAAAAATGACTTTTTTTCAGTTATCTTATTCAAGTAATTCACTTTTACTATGATGCATCCTATGAATTCTGCAGGAAATATGACCCTGCACACCGAGTCAAAAGGGCTCAGTCAGACACGTCTGCAGGCTGCTCAAAAGGAGGGAAGAAATTTTAAGAGCATGCTTTTCTTTTTTCCAGTGGAGTTGCATTTTGACTGAAAGTAGGGCAGCAGAAGCACCACTGGCTGAAAACAGAAGACAGAAAACAACAAGGGCACGGAGGATGCACGGCGTTCCTCCCATCACCGTCCAGGTACTGGACATCATGTCGAGACCAGTCTGGCTCAATAGTTTGAGTCAGTGCTACAGCTTTTCTCCGGTCTGTCTGTGACTCAGGCATGAAACGAGCATGTCACAAGCCTAATTCCGCCTCAGTTGGGATGGAGCCATTACCATGGCAACCTCTTTTTTCCCCTTCTTCAACATTGTCACAAAAAAAAACAAGAGAAAGGGAAAGTAAAATGAATGCCGTGGACAACGACGTTTCAGTTAGGTGGGGGATCAAAAGGAAGCTTCCTGCCTGTCAGGAGCTGACTGATTTGTGCTCCGTCTGCTACGTCGGTTAACCCTCTGGGACTGTCACTGCCAGTGACACAATTGGCTCCTTTAATTAGATAAGCATCACAGACATGGCTCGGACAGCAGCGTGCTGTCAAAGAGTCAGAGAGGTCTTAAAAGAATAATGGATGCATCTGGGTTTGACCTGTCTTTACATGAAAGCCTTTTTTTGTTTACAGTGACAGGAAATTAATCTGAATCAGGTCGATCACACGGAGCGTTTAAACTCCGTTGCTGCTGAGAATAGAAAGTATCCTTTGAGCTAAATACTGCACTTTATTTATTTTAGGCGATAGCAAAAGTCAGGTTATGGTTATATACGTATGCTTTTGGCATATGTTGATTACTATGTGAGAACCTTTTGTTAGAATTTGAAGAGTGTTTCTGCATGAAAATGATGAGCAAATGCTTAAATGTCCTCTGTTTGGAGTAATTGTGTTTATGTCCTACAGGACAAATGAGCTGACAGACCAAAATGTTTCTCTGTTGACCTAAAATGGCTCCAATCTAAACAAAATCTGCTTCACTTGACACCTGGATGAACCATAAATGCTACATTTAGCTATTCTTGATGACATTTGTGCTAGAATACTGTGTATATAACTGTAATACAAAATTTAGAGCTGTGTAAAGGTTTATAATATGTGTACTTATTTTTCTGAACAGAGGCTGTTAAGGAATCTAAAATTAGATATTAAAAAATGTGTTTCTTTTATAACTTTTCATCAAAACTTTCTTTAACATTGACGTACAGTCTATTAGTAGATGCAGAAAAGATTAAATGTAGCTATGCATGCCATACCATAGCATAACATTATGTAGCATAGCGTAGTGTAGCATTGCATAGCTTAGCGTAATGTAGCATAGCATAGAGTAACGTAGCATAGCATTATGTTATGAATTGAATAGTGTAGCATTGCATCGCATAGTGTAATGTATCCATAATGTAGCATAGCATAACAAAACACTGTGTATCATTGCATAGAATAGCATAATATGGAGCAGTGTAGCATAGCATAGTGTAGCATTGCATAGAGTAGCCTAATATGGCGCAGTGTAGCATAGCGTATTGTAGCATAGCATAGTGTAGCATTGCATTGAAGAAGAAAAGATCTTTTCTATAGCGCCTCCCAAGATAAAAATCACGAGGCGCTTCACAAAAACAAAAAATGTAAAAATATGAAAAAGAATTTAGAAAATGATTACAAATATAATTAAAATGAGCAAAAAATAGACAATTATGATTCAAATGTAAAGAAAGAGAGAGAGTGAATAGGAAAGAGGGAAATCAGTGTATCCTGAGGAAGATGGAATAGGTAGGAAGAGCAGAACAAGGAGAGGGTGAAGAAGGTCATACAAAAGCCAGCTTGAACACGTTGTCAGCTGCTTTTTGAAGGAGACCACTGAGTCCACTGATCTCAGGCTCAGGGGGAGAGAGTTCCAGAGTCTGGGGGCCACAGCAGCAAATAATCTGTCACCTTTGGTCTTTAGCCTGGTGCTGCACAACCAGTAGGCTTTGATCACTGGACCTCAGGGACCTGCTGGGGGTGTAGGGACTGAGAAGATCACCAATGTAAGATGGTGCTTGTCCATGTAAGGCCATATAGACCAGAACCAGGATCTTGAAATGAACCCTGAAGTTGACTGGCAGCCAGTGAAGCTGGAGGAGAAGCGGGGTGATGTGGGTGTGTTTGGAGGACTTGGTCAGATGCCGAGCACAGGCGTTCTGAACCACCTGTAGACGGTTCAGGGAGGTTCTGCTCAGACACGTGAAAAGAGAGTTACAGTAGTCTAAGCATGAGGAGATGAAGGTGTGGAGGACTGTCTCAAGATCAGAGCGGGACAGAATGGGACTCAGCTTAGCAATGTTCCTGAGATGGAAGAAGGAAGAGCGAACAAGAGAACTGACATGAGAATCCAGGGTCAAAGGTTACGCCAAGATTCCTGACGGAAGGTTTGGTGTGAGAAGCAAGCTGACCAAGAGAGTCTCTGACTTTGGGAACCAGCTTGTCTGGGGCACAGATGAGGATCTCAGTCTTATCTTCATTCAGCTGAAGAAAGCTCCCAGCCATCCAGGTTTTGATAGAGTCTGAGCAGGTGTGTAACAGCTGCAGCTTAGACATCTCATGGGGCTTGAAGGAGATTGCATAGCATAGCTTAGCATAGTATTGCATGATCTGGCCAATAAATATTTTAAGTTCATTAAAACAATTTGATTCATATCTTCTAAAAAATAAGGCGCCCTTTTACCCTAAGAGTCTCTTTGGGCTGTGTTGTAACCATAACATCGGACACCTGATCCTAATAAATGCGAATCAAAACCATTTCTGGCTTACTTCGTGATGTTTAGTGTAGCATCGCTAGCCCAGAAACCCAGTTTTTGCAACCAACTGAAAGCTGCCTTGCACATCCCGGTTCAGACACAAGTGTATCAGAAATAACAGACATTTGGCTTGGCGCTGTTATTCAGCCAGCTTGTTTGACTCATGACTGGGGCAGAGATGTGACCTTGGCAAGTTCCCCTTTTGTCTGTGAGCCTGACAAACATACGCCGAACAAAAGGGGTCAGATTGCACAGATTCATAAACAGACGCTGTTTTCCTCACTAAGAGAACAAAAGGAGATAAGATGTCAAAAGCAGGAATCATGAACACGTTTGACAAATATTTGACCTTTAAATGATAAAACTGAACTCACCAGTCCTGCACGGCTCCGAAGGACTCCTCGTTGGTGATATCGTACATGAGGATGAAGCCCATGGCGCCGCGGTAATAAGCAGTGGTGATGGTTCTGTAGCGCTCCTGGCCTGCAGTGTCCTACACACAGATGACATGATTTAAAGTAGGCACTGCGGAGCTTGGAAACACTGACCTGATCCTGCACAGCACCGATCCGCAGCAGTATTATGACTGAGCAGACACTTTCATTATTAACACGCTGCTATTTATACACACAGAACTATTATAAGGTTACAGCCACAGTTAGCGCTCATGATCTGGAAGTAATGATTATGCAAATTGCCTTGCTGGCTTTGTATTATTTTTGTTGATGAGATTGATTTTTCTTTCCCCAATAAAATAATCATTAGGCTATGTTAAAGACTCACTGGTGCGGCACTAAAAGCTCGGCTCGTGACATCTGCTTCACAAGAAAAGGACTAAAAATAGAAGTGAGATGATTTTAAAATTGAGTAACCGTGTGCCGCCGACGGCGATGCGGATAAGCTAATTAAGTGATTACAGCTACAAGATGTCAGGGTGAAAGCTAAATAATACAAAAGTGCACCAGATATTTGACTATTGTTCTGTTTTTTTCCTGTTGCATAATAACAAGTCCCAGTAAATCTCACTCCTGCTGGAACTGTGTGTTTGCAGGATTGTTCGTACACCCACAACAAGTGTGTTTCTAGGCTTCTGTGATTCATGGCTGAAGTCTTCTGGCTGCTCCACTTGGCTGTTGTTAAACAGACACCCAACAGGCTGCTCTGGATTCTGTCCGCCATAGAACGTTTGCTCTCTGTTCATCTGCACATGGCTGCAACAGCGTGCCTGTTATAGCCCGAGGACAAATCTGACCTTCCGCTCTGCAGAGATGGAGCTTTCAGTCTGTAGACCATCCACTCACACTCACACACACACACGAGCTTTATAAAAATGCAAAAACAATCTCATTGCATTTGCATCGTCTGTGCAGAATAACCATGTCTCTCATTCACTCGTTTTTCGTAACACGTTTGCTGCGGCCTCTGGTGTGAATAAAAGCCTCGCGAGTCGTTTTCTGTTCTTGTGTCAGGAAGTAGAAGTTAGCTGAACGAGTGAAGGGCAGAAAACAGGAGGAATTGAAATTTTACTCATTTCATGATATTCAGAAATCTCGCCTCTGATTGGCTAACAGCAACGTGGCTCTACCACTGACTCTGTTTTTGAACATTTATGTTTTATCTCCACAAATCAACTTTCTGTGTCTTTATTGAACATGGAAATCAATAGACAATTTAAAGTATTCAAAAAGTATTCAAAGAGAAACCCATACATGTGTATATATATATATATATATATATATATATATATATATATATATATATATATATATATATATATATATATATATATGTATGTATATGTATGTATGTATGTAGAACATGTTCAACAGGAAGGGAAAGAAGCTCTGGTAGCTTATATAATCCCCCCCCAATCAAATTTCAAGAAAGGTAAAACAAAACAAAAAACATATTCCCTACACTGAGTGTCATTGCCATTTTCTTATAACATGTTTTATCCTCAATCACACAAACAAAACTTACAATTTTTATGTCATCCCCCCCCCCCCCCCCCCCCCCAATATTCACATCTCCCAGTTCACCAACAATGGACAATTACAATCAAATGCAACATCGTTACAACTTTTCCTCCTCCTCCATGTAATTAATTAGTATAATTTTTTTATACTTCTCTTTAAACTTATGCAATGAGGGACTTTGCTTTAGATCCTCACTTAGCTTATTCCAAACTCTTACACCCGTAACAGAAATGCAAAATGACTTTAACGTTGTTCTAAAATATGCATGCCTAAAGTTAAGTTTGTATCTGAAATTCTATAGGTTATCTGGTTTTATAAATAGCATTAACAATGTGTTTGGTAATAATTTCCTATGCACTTCAAACATGAACGTCGCTGTATATAGTCAAAGTAAATCTTGAAATTTTAGTATTTTTGAATATATAAATAACGGATTAGTGTGTTCTCTAAATCTAACATTGTGAACGACTCTCAGGGCTCTTTTCTGTATGATAGACAAGGGTACAATAGATGTTTTATAAGTGCTACCCCATACCTCTACACAGTAAATAAGACAGGGATAAATCAATGAATAATAAAGGACATTGAGTGATTTAACACAAGCCTGAAGGCCTGAAGGAGTTCTGCCATGTTGTGGAGTTGCTAATGCTAACTGTTAGCTTCTACTAGCCAAGACACAGTTTGCCCTCTCCTGGATGCTGACCCCTGCTTTCCACCAGATGTGAAATGCCCACAAAATACCTTCAAAATGCTGAAATCAAATCATGCATTTTCCCGCCTATTTTCTACCTTAATGCAGGAAATAGGGGTAGAAGAATGTTTTCACATTCAGCCTCGTCAGTCACTGAATGTTTAAAAAAAGACAAGTACAAAAATGTTTTCTCTGTGAATTTGGTCTTTAAAAGACTGACTGGAACAGGACAAAAAAAATCTGCTTGAGCCTTGAAATTTTGAGCGCTTTGAAAAGCTGTGCTTGTAGCTGCAACCTCAGCAGGAATCGAGGAAAGCAGCAAGCAGAGTCGGACGGTGGCAAATAAAGAGTCTTCGTCATGATGTGTGGATCTGTTTTTCATGAAATGGCCATCACTTCACCACAGCCTCTTAATTACTCAAACGGCTCCTTTTGCATTATGTGTGTCTACTGCAACGACTTAAACCAACTTCAATCACCTTAAAAGGCCACTTGCTGCATCCTCAGCTCTCTTTAGAGACAGCTCAATTATCTGGGTGCAAGGGGCAACCCTTTATACTTCAGATGATGAACACATTAACCTGGCTGTGTGCTACAGCACAACTTTTCACAATCTGGTGGAAGTGATTTTTCTTCAGCTTTTTATTTGCCAAGAATGCTAAATAACTGGCTAATTGTGGTGTCGGTGCAGGATCTGCTCGGGTGCAGGATTGGCTCGGGGTCCTTCGACTGCCGATGACGTCACATCACTGCAACTCTACTCGGCTTTCACACACACGTTTTGGAAAGACATCAGCAGTTTTGATAATAAATTCTTGTTTGTTAACATCTAAATGTTTTCTTTATAATTGTAATTTGTTAATAAAACACAATATTATCTTTGTTTTGTAAAGAATGTGAAACTGCATAAAACCAACATCGGACTGACAAAAAATAGAACAGTTCTTATATGTGAAGCCATATCTGTTTGTATTAATGTGGAGTTCGTCTGTATATTTCCTTAGTTGTTATCTAAATACAATCTTTGACTCAAAATATTGCTTGGTGTCTTTCAATAAAGTTCTTATATTTTATTTTGCCGCATTTCATCAACATCAAGAGCTTTTGAGGGTCACCGTTTATCATTTGCTTATATTTTACATTTCCTTTAGAAATTTAAACATATTTTCTCCAAAAAGTGTTGATTTTTGGACTACAGGACTACAACCGCTAAGACTACAACCGCAAATTTGTTCTGACCAATCAAAATCATAACGTGATAACGTAACTGCCGTAAGCTTCATGTTCAGCCAATCAACTACTTTGACGTCATCGGCAGTCGAAGGACCCCGAGCCAATCCTGTACCGACACCGGCACACACAAAAAACAGGCAGGAAAAAAAACCAGAATTAATTCTAATAATTTCGGTTGACTGACTCAGAGGTATTAGGAGACAATCTGCTTCAGCAGCTTGGATGAACTCCTAATTAAACAGATTCAGATGTTCTGTGGTTTCCAACACGTTCTGAGGAAGGTGTTGCTTCTCGGTTCGTTGCTGCTGTGCTCCGCAATAACGCTCACTAGTTTCCTGTCAGTAACTGAGATTTCCACCTGCCTCCACACACACAATCGGAGCGTTATAGACTTTTCCTGAAAATTTGAGAAACAACGAGTCACCTACTTTGAATGCAGTTTTTGGACTAACTTCTGAAATACTGTGCTGAAAGAAGCATTTAAAAAGGTTTGCTGAGACATTTAAGTCCTTTTCTGCGGGTTTCTGTATGGTTTGTCATTTTCTTGAAAATCCAAGACAATAAGAGCACATTAGCAAGGGAGTTGCCTCTCTTTCAGGAATTATGTGTGATTTCTTTTTAGAAATCCATAAAAGTGATAGTTTTACCCTGTATAATGTAGGCAATAGCTCAGAATTTATTTGCTAGGCCCACCCCCTGTCCTGCCGAGCCTCGTGCAATGTGAACTGAATGCCACATAGCATTAGCCGCTAGGTTTAGACATCTGCTTACATACAGATGTCAATCTCAGAGTGAGCGTGCATTTCCGGATGTACTGGTGTAGGGTTACATTACATTATATATATGTGTGTGTATATATATATATATATATATATATATATATATATATATATATATGAATAAATAGCATAACATGAGGCTAAAGAGCGGCTTAGGGTGCAATGTATTTTTCTGCCTCTAGATGGTGCCCTCTGGCAAAAAATTCCAGAAATCTGCTTTAAAGGCACACTTGGCCATTTTGGCTTGCTTTTAGCACCCCCTAGTGTCCATTTAGTAGAGCCAGAAGTGAAATTTATCCCCTCGCTGCTGATATGTCTCCCCAGCCTTCCTTAGTGTTTACATAAGTGGTTCATCACTAAATTAAACAAATCAGCGGTGTTCACATTCTTAAACATGCCGAAAATGTGCTGGAAGCAGACCGCAGCGCCAGGTATGTCAGCAAAACATTTTCTAAGTCCACAGGTGGCGGCCCGCCACGCTGAAGTTGTGTAAAATTCTAGCCACAAAGGGCGTTGGGGGGTCTGAGTAGCTTTTCATTAACCCTTTAAAAGGGTTATTTTGGCACATACTGCCTCAAGACAATTATTTAAAAATATGAAAAGGTTGCACAGTATCCCTTTCCGTGAAGCAAAAGCATGGGTTTCATTGTTGCTGATCCTCTGCTATCTAATGCAATCGGGTCTGAAACAGTCACAGCATCTTGACAGCATACTGATCACCAAAGAAAAATATGAGACATGATGGACAAAAAGCGACAGATGTGTTAATTAAATGGGGAAAACAGAAAAAGGACAAATTTTAATGGTTCAGCATTGATAAGTATTGATCATACTGAAACAGGTTTCTTCCTGTTAAAGGGGCGTTTTCCTTTCCACTGTCACTACATGTTTGCTCAGTATGGGGGTTGCTGTAAAGTCTCTGACACAACAACTCAGTGACTTGATGAAATCTGCTGGGTTTCCTTATACAGAAAACTTAACTAACTCGCATAATGAACTGCACTCAGTTGGAATGTTTAAGTGCTTTGAGGTGACTTTTGTTGTGATTTAGCACAACATAAATAAACAGAACTGAGTAGAATAAAACGTTTTGTTGATTAAACAAAGACTGAGTGGCGAGTAGACACTTTTGAATGTTTAATGAGAATATTTCGTACCCAGATCTGCAGTTTGATCCTCTTGTCGTTCTTGTACACGGTCTTCACCTTGAAGTCGATGCCCACTGTGCTGACAAAGGCTGAAGTGAAGGCGTCGTCGGCATAGCGGAACAGGAAGGACGTTTTACCCACGCTGCTGTTGCCGATGATCAGCAACTTGAACATGTAGTCAAAATTTTGGTCTCCTCCCTCTCCTTTCCCTTTGACATCCTGAGTGGCAGCCATCTGCAATAAACCCCAGGAAGGATTTGGAAACATTGCTTTGACTTCATCCACAAGTTGTGCTAAATGAAGGATTTCAAGATAGTTCTCCACAACAATTGTATCTTCATGATTGAATAATATTATGTGAAGGATTTATTTGTACAGAATATCAGGTTTGTCTAGATTTAGAAGAATAAGGATGAAAATTTGAAGTACTGTGTACTAAACATGAAAAATGCCAGCTTGTACAGGCCTCAGGATCAGAGATGACAGAAGGCTGCGTTAGGCAAACCAGCATGACCAACATGGCGAGTTGCTCTAATAATGAGCATTAGATTACAAGCTCTTTCATTCAAAATAATCCCTTCAACCAATGCAAATTACTTTTTTTATTTTTAATAAATGTATTTAAGATATGGTGGTCCCTCTCCCCCCTGCTACAATTAAATAATGTAAACTTTCACACTACCAATAAAATTGGTTTCCCATTCTAGAAAGCCTGCCCACTTGAAGTCAAATGAAAGGAAACGTGCTGCTAAAATAAAACTGCTGCAGCTCACAATCGTGCACGGGGTACTTGAAGAATAGAAATTGATCTTCCTCGTTAGCAGCGTTTCCGCGCGAGCTGTCAGCGGTCAGTACCTCAAGAGGACAAGACTAATAACGCATCTCATCTTCCAAGGTAACATTTTTTGGAAAAGGAAATCGAGAATTCTACCAATAAATAAGTAAATAAACCGAAAACAAAAACGTGCATCCATCTGGCCTCCGCAATAACTAAAAGATGCCGGACCTCCCATCGTGCACATCCTGCTAGCTTCCGTGTATGTAAAAACCCGGTTATCAATAATGTTGGCAGCAAGGACACCAATTTGAAAACATCACCGTTTATATTTAACTTTTTATGCTACAAACATCCATCTTGGTATGGAATTATGCCGTATTGGCTGAGCATGAAGCTACTTGCCCGCTAATGTCAGAACAGCAGTTCTGGGTAGGAGGTCATTTTATCATTTGGTGAAATTCTTGCACGTCTCCGTGGAGAAACTGACGCAAAAACAACGCGCTGATGACGTTTTTGTGAACAAACCTGCTTCGAAGGCCTCGGTCGCACGCGCGTCTGCCCCTGCTGTGCAGAATTCGGCTTTATTTTCTGACTCTTAAACGCGAACGCTGGTGCGTCTCCGACCAGTTTCAGCACCTGGGAGCTGTCCCTCTCGACTCCGGATCTGCCACGGTGAGAGCGCGAGCGCAGGGGATGGACGGCGCGTGCCGTGCGTAGCTCTTACGTCACGGGGGTAAAGAGGAAGAAAGGAGGTTGTAGTTTTTAATTTCAGTGGGTTGACGCGTTGAGGCACAGCGGGGTTTTTTTGAACACATATTAAACTACATTACTCAACATGCAGCTGTGCGCAGCTGGACGGTTTGCTGAGATTTTAGTTCGTAGCATCCAGATATCGCGATAAGACCCTCCCTAGGTTTGATTATTTTATCAGATGTTTAAATAGGATTGATCTTACCTTTCCATACAGATCCATCTGCTCCTATGTCACTTGTTTGTTTTGCAGTTCTCTGGATCAGCTCCCAAGCTGCCCACGATTGCGTTCTTCTTCTTCTTTTTTCTTTTTGTCAGGAAGCAAATATAATAAAATGGTTTGCGTCACTCTTGGCTGTTTCTGCCCCCTACCCCGCCCCTGAAGCCGCTTTCCAGAGAACAAGAGGCTGAGCAAATAAAGGGTCCTGAGTGCTGATGAATATTAAAACGGGCTCATCAATGGAGGAAGCGCAAGGTGAGGCAGCTCCGGAAGTGAACAAAATAAAAGGCTGTTTGGGTCTTTTGCAATTATAATTAGCTGCATCTCTTTCAAGCGGATTAAAAAGATATTAGATGATAAATGTTGAGTTCAAAAAGGATGCTGGAACAAATAAAGCAACTTGATTTTTAAGAGCTGATACAACCGGCCTTGTGTAAGTGTGGATCTGATACAAACTGTCAGGGCAGAGTGTTTCATGCTCTTGGCAGACGTTTGCTGGGGCGGGGAAATGCTGACCGACTGGCCATGTGCGCAGACGGCTTACTGCGCAGGCGAGCTGAGGGGGCGGGGCAGGCAGGAAGCTCAGGCAAGTGCGTCTGCACCACAAATCGTTGTTTTTGTGTGTTTTCCTGGAACACGTTTTCTATTATGCCTCCTTTAAGCGTTAGTCAGTGTTTTAACTCGGTCACATACAGTTGAGAGTACAGCAATTGTTTATTTTGCATCGATTTAGTGGGGATTCAGTTACTCCAAAACGGTCATTTTGTAGGAATTTGCACCTTTTGTAGTGCTTTCTCGTTAAAGTGAACCGATCTGACTGAGTTTAGTCATTTGAAGTTTTAAACTGTACTAAATCGAGCTAAACTTAAAACTTCTAGAAGGTTTCTGAGAGGGAAAGGGTCATTGTGGCTCCATCTGCTGTTAGAAATCCCGCACCTGGTGGTCACGTTTATCCTTTTGACAAACAAGATTCTGTTATGAAAAAAATATTTTTTGCAGAAAATGATACACTTTGTTTCTGTTTAATGCTTAATACTTTGCCACCTAAAGATATTTAGTTTATAAAATTATTTGGTTTTACACACTGATGTCCACACCAGTATATTTTCCCACAAAACTCTTTAAAAATAAAAACGTGGCCCTCGGACCATTATAATTGAGGACCCCCGCTTTATGGGTTTGATTACCAGATTGTTCTTTCTTCAACGTGCTGCAGATGTTTTGTGATGGAGGACTCCATTGAGTTGATTCTGCAGGACCACGTTGGGATTTTTCCGAGCAGCAAGCCCCATCCTGTCCTCTCTGCCTGCACTGGAGCTCTGCTCACAGGCCTGTATGGAGTATGGAGCATGTTCGTCTTTCCCGGCTCCCGAAGAATCCCGTGGAGGCTCAAGGTATTTATGCCACTGTTGTTTTTAGCTAATTTGTCGTCTTTCTGTTGTTTCTCTTTCCCCCTTTTAAATATTGTTTGAAATCAGTTAAATTAGGCCAAAGCACAAGGTGACTTGCACATTAAAGGTAATTAGCTTATTTTGGGAGTATTGTTCCACGCATGTAGAGGGAAGAAAGAAAACACTTTAATAATCACAGTTCATTTTTTTAAAGGATTATATGGTTCTAGCTGTGAGCAGGAAATTCTCTTCTGCACCGGTGTGTGTTGCAGCAGATCTGAAGAAGCTTCTGACTCACGAAACTGTTGTTGAATTTTACACAATCAGCTCTAGAAGCTCCAGAACACCCCCCCCCCCCCCCTGGATTAGAACATCCTTCATTATCAGCTCGACTTTTTTACAGTCCCCGGCTTTGATGCCGCCTCCAACAGATGATTACAGATGAGTTTGCATTCTCCACAACAGACCTTTAGAGAATGTTCAGCATCTTATTGCAAACACTGATGGATCCAAGCTTCCCCAGGAGGCCTAGTCTGCTCTGTGCCTTCTAATAAACAGCTTCAGTGTTGTCTCTTCAGTCCAGCCTGTGGATGACAGGATTCTGACTTCTACTAACAACTAGCAACAGGTCTGTGGACATTAAGGGCAACCGGCTTATCAGTTTTCACATTTATCTACATGATTTCTCCAGCTCGACCATCACATCTTTCTCCTTGGGGTCATGGTTTGGATATTTTTGAGCTTTGGAGATGTCAATTAGCTGCTCCCTCATGCAAAACAAATTGATCGTTGCAATAGCTGATCATCATAAAAGTAGCTGACAAATTTGAAATACAGAAGCAACACAGCATCCAAGCAAGAAAAAATATCCATCCATCCATCCATCCATCCATCCATCCATTATCTTCCTCTTATCCGGAGTCGGGTTGCGGGGGCAGTAGCCTAAGAGGCCCAGACTTCCCTCTCTCCAGCTACTTGGGCCAGCTCCTCCAGGGGAATCCCAAGGCGTTCCTCCACCGTGTCCTGGGTCTCCCTTTAGGCCTCTTCCCAGTTGGACGTGCCCGGAAAACCTCACCAGGGAGGCGTCCAGGAGGCATCCTGACCAGATGCCCGAGCCACCTCAACTGGCTCCTCTCGATGTGGAGGAGCAGTGAATATGTAAAAAGAAAAACAGGATGTCTTATATCCAAAATATGAAGATAAATCCCATAAAAAATATTTAGTAATATAAGGGAACTACTGCAACAAGCTGCCAATGTGTTAGTTTCATAACAAATAAATCAATGAACAAAATTTATAAACAGGCCTATTAGTTGATATTCATTATTATTTTGCACAAGAAGATGAAGAATTGCTTTTGCTGAACTATATTACAATCATTTATACACTCACTTAACTCATTTTCCACATGGTGGGTAGCTCTGAAGTGCCCTTTTTCCCTCCACTTGAACCAATCCTCATGTAACCCTCTTATCTCTATTAAGGTAGCGCGACTCGGGTTGCGAATGACCACAGTCACCAATTCTTGTCATGTGTCTTGCCCATATATGTCTGATCTCTGAACTGTGTGTACTGAAACTCTAATTTCCCTCTGGGATTAATAAAGTATTGATTTGATTGATTACAGTGGCTTTACTATCTCATGTAACAGAAAGATGGTATTTAAGGTAAAGTACTAACGCTCCTGCTCCTTCCATGCAGGTCCCGTACTTGCCCTCCAGTAAAGTCCAGACACAAAATGTCATGAAGCTGCTGGAGGGTCGAAGAGGTCGCTTAGCAGATCTGGGATCAGGAGATGGAAGACTGGTGGGTGAGGTGGTTCTGTTTCAGAAAAGAAATCGTGTCATTTAGTATTTTAAACTGGTATTTACCTTTTTTGCAGGTGTTTGCTGCCTCGTCAGCTGGTTTCCGAGGCACGGGGTTTGAGATCAACTCCATTTTAGTGGCATATGCCAGGAGCAAGGCCAGGTGGAAAGGTATTCCCTCCAGCCAGGCGACTTTTGTTAAGAAAGACTTTTGGACGGTAAGAACCAAACAAAAATTGTGCACTCTTATGCACTTGATGAAAGTCCCAACTGTCTCATTTTGTTGTCAGACGGATTTATCTTCCTACGACAACGTGACGGCTTTTCTTGCTCCAGGAGTGGTGAGCGCTTCTCCATTGCACAGTTAACTCTTTATTTGCTGTTGACACACATACCGTAAATCCTCTAATACAGGCCCGGGCCTGTATTTGACTCAAGCTCACCAAGCTCCAGGCCTTTATTGGAAGGAGGGCCAGAATTAGAGGCCGGCCTCTATTTCTATTTGAGCAAAATGAACTAATGGTTCGCTGGAGTTTTTGACAATTAAAATTGCGCCCACATTTTCAAAGTTAAACACATTTCTTTTAACAACGGTAGTTTCTGCTTCAGCCCTCTCCCCCCTCCCCCTGCGCAGCGGCCGCAAACTCACTGATGCGCCTGCAGCCTCTCAGAGTTCCTGCTGCTCTAAACATTAAAATAATTATTTCATTTTCTGTTCCTCACTTCTGATTACCTTCAGTGGTGTCTGTTTGTTGCAACCAGCAGGTACAAAAACTAACTTGTTTTTATTTGACTATTTTTCTGTCCTGCCTGTTTATTATCTTCCTGCATCTCCTCTCAATCCTAAAGAGAAACTGCTACCTGGGTTCATATATATTCACCTCATGAGTTACCTTTGAACTGCAGTTCTAAAAGATCTACCGACCGCTAAAACAGCGGAGTGCTCCCTGCTTGGCGGCCGCATCAGTGATCGGTGCGTCGGAGGACAAGGTGATGCGCCCCGCTCCACAGCGAAACACATCAGGCGCAAATAAAAGACAGAAAACATTAAAGGAAATGAACCGACATGAATGATCGCGTGTCAGTACCGACGCACTGGCACAGCGCGTTGCCCCCCCCCGAGCGCAGGAGCTTGTCACCTACTGATAGCAGGCTGCTGTCTTTTCCGAGGGCTGCATCTTGCCAGTCATTATCACGTGACAGCGACTAGTCGACGACAGGCATAAAAAGTCACTATTGTGAAGTTGACTAGTTCATACAACCCCTACTGCTCCCCAGTGTTCTGCAGCGCACGTTCTCTTTGAACTTGATATCAAATTTTCGCCTCCTCTTCGTCTCCGCACAGTTAAAGTTACCCTCGCGGTCTATCACTGGCAAATAAAAAGTGAGACGATGACACAACCGCCCCCCGTACTTGCTTGTTACCACATTCCACCCGGCCACAATAAGAGACCGGCCATTATTCACCTCCGCCGACTCCGACACCGGTCAAAATATGATACCCGGCCTGTATTAGAGGATTTACGGTAATCTGTTCTGACTGCAGATGGATGTGCTGGGAGAAAAGCTTCTGAAGGAGCTTCCTGAGGATGCGCTCGTCATCGCCTGTCGGTTCCCCATCACTAGCTGGTCCCCACAATCATCTGCGGGTTCTGGACTTGATCGGGCGTTTGCGTATGACATCAGCAGCGTGCGCTCACGCTTGAGAACTCCATCGAGCACAGCGGCAGAATGACTCACTAGTGTTTTCAGGGCTTTTTCACTCAGCTGCACTAAAATCTCAATGCAATATTTTATCAAGTGCATTTGATATTTCTGAATGTTGCACACTACTTGGAGAGTTTTTACACATGCATAACAGACCGAGCCTGTGTGTCACACTGCTGCTGACTGTTTAGAGGGTGCTTTCAGCAATCAACATCTAAGGTATGGTTTTATGCTGTGTGTGTATCTGAGTCGGCTGACTAACACACCAAACACACCGGTGTAAGTAATGTGCATTTTACTCTTACGTTTTAACACACAGAACACACTCAGGGAGCCAAAAAAAGCTAAGAGATATCTTGATTTTTTTGTTAGAAACAGATTATTTTCATTTAAGGCAGATTAATTATGACAACTTTCCTACTTATAATGGTTTTATTGTGATTGTGAAACAATAAAACAAATACTGACTGAGATAAGTCTTTGAATAATAAGAAATGCTTTCAGATTTCTGGAGGATTTGTTAGATTTTTTTGTGTAATTTAAATATTTTACAGCATTGGGCTGAAGGCTTTTTCACCTGAAGTCCTCTACCATGAAGAAATGTAGTGTTTTGTCGCATCATCATTGTTTGCATCTGTGCCGCTGAATTCAGCAAAGTTTTCCACGAAAGATAGAACGGCTGATGGAACGGCTGGTGTACTGGTGCAGCAGCAACAACCTGGAGCTCAATGCTCAGAAGACAGTGGAGATGATTGTCAGGAAAGTCACAGCCCCATCTCTCCCCCTCGTCCTGACTGACTCCCCCGTCACCACTTGGGACTCCTTCCGCTTCCTCGGAACCACCATCACACATGACCTTAGGTGGGAGCCATCCATCAGCTCCCTGATCAAAAAGGCCCAGCAGAGGATGTACTTTCTGCGGCAGTTGAAAAAGGCCAAGCTGCCGGCCCAGATGATGGTGCAGTTTTACACGGCCATCATTGAGTCCATCCTCACTTCCTCCATCGCTGTGTGGTACGCTGGAGCCACAGTGAGGGACAAACATAGACTGCAGCGCATTGTGCGCTCTGCTGAGAAGGTGATTGGCTGCAGCCTTCCATCTCTCCAGGACCTGTACGTCTCCAGAACTCGTGGGCGTGCAGGTCGGATAGCAGCTGACCCTTCGCACCCGGGACACAGACTTTTTGAGCCGCTTCCCTCAGGCAGGAGGTTACGGTCCATCCGGACCAGAACCTCCCGCCATAAGAACAGCTTCTTTCCATCTGCCGTTAGACTTGTGAACAGCTTATAAACACACAACCATGCTCGTCTTCTGTACTCGACATAACGTCACGTTATCGGCCATATTACCTCTACCTGCCATTTTTTGTAGCAAAGTTTTATGCTAGTTTATTATATTTTATTCTACTTTATTCTATTTTTAATTATATTATTCATGTTATAGGTAGCACGTTAGTACCGAAGCAAGTTCCTAGTTTGTGAATTGTTTGTTCGCTAACAATGGCAACAAACCTATTCTGATTCAGATTCTGGTGATCATGTCGCTGCAGAATCTTTTTCCGTGTTTCAATTGTGGGAGTTAAAAGCATAGGGCAATAGTCCTAAATGTTTACAAGAAGTACTAAGAGTTGGATCTTATTGTGCTTTCATTGTATACTTGTTTGTCCAGCTTTTGTAAGCTAAAGTTTATTTATGCTATTGCAGATAGGGGCAGCAGTAGCTCAGGTGGTAGAGCGGGTTGCCTCATGATCGGAGGGTCATGGGCTCGATTCCAGCTCCCGCCAGGGGTATCCTGCTGTCGTGTCCTTGGGCAAGACACTTCACCCAACTTGCCTGTGTTAGTGGTGGTCAGAGGGGCCGACGGCGCCAAATGGCAGCCTCGCCTCTGTCAGACCTCCCCAGGGCGGCTGTGGCTACAAGTAGCTTACCATCACTAGCAGTGTGTGAATGTGAGAGTGTGTGAAAGTGTCTTTGAGTGTCTAGAAAAGCGCTATATAAGTTCAATGCATTATTATTATTACTATAACATGGTGAATAGAAGTTTAAAATCACAAACATGCCAAAAGTAAAACATGACAAAAGGATTTTTAAAAAGGGTAAAAGAAAAATTGAAAGAAAAAAAGATCATTAAACTAATAAAGTTAATTTAATAAAACCAAAGAGTTCAGCAATTGTTATTTGAAATAATGTTGCTTTTTAAGTTTTAAGGAACTATATTATACATAAATCACTAAATAAATAAAAACTAAAATAAATAAACAAAAATAACTAATAACACACAAAAAATATAAAATAAAAACAAAATTACAAATAAACAAAATAACAAAAATAATACGTTTGGAAAATACATTTTTCAAAACTGACTAATTTAAATAAGTAAATCATTATGGGAGCCTATTCCCAGATAACCTGAGCAGATCAGCGTCAGGAATCTCCACCTGAGGGTGCTGGTGGTGCTTCAGACTGGCTCTGGTGCAAACTGAGGTAAAGCTGCACAGAATACAGATCGTGGTTATTTTCCACATCGAGGCCAATTATTGGGATGCACCATTCTGCTGTCTAAACGACACCGGCACCTTTCTCGGCTCCAGATTTTCAATAAAATAATAAATAAAATTAATAAATAATAAAAGTGTTTTCAGTGTGATTGACGAGGTGAACATACACCAGACTCAGGCTGATCAAACGTCCGATTTCATGTCTGTGTCATCAGCGCACAGCCTATCCACATGCAGCCTGATCGATACCTGGCTGGGCTCGCGCTCTCGTTTTACAGCGTGACGTCAGAGGGAGGCAGACAGGAGGGCGCATGGGAGGAGGAGGAGGAAGAGGGATGGGAGTGTATAAAGGCGCACAGAGCAGCGCTCCGGGCTTCATACAGAGTGCGGGACTACAACCGAACCGCTAATGGAAGTACGCAAAAGCTGCGGGACCCAACAGACCAACACCAGCAGTATGAGCGAGTCCACGCAGAGGTCCTGCGAGCCGCGCCGGAAGCGAACGGAGGAGCGGAATGCGCAGTCAGACATGGCTCGGATCATCACCGATCCGGTCACGGGGAAGTGCTACTGCCGTGGGAAAGTTTTGGGAAAGGTTAGCGCGCGCTGCTGTCCCTTCCCTCCTCCTCCTCTGGACTCCCCGAGGATGTTAACGTTCTTATGTCCTCTCCTCTTTCCAGGGAGGCTTTGCCAAGTGCTACGAGATGACCGACCTCTCCACCGGAAAAGTTTACGCCGCAAAGATCATTCCACACGCGCGCGTCTCCAAACCTCACCAACGGGAGAAGGTAAAGCGTGCAGCCGCCCGAGGAGCGCGCGCTCCGGTGAAAACTGCACAGATATAACTAATCCGAGTTGTCTCTCGTTTTGATTCAGATTGACAGAGAAATTGAGCTGCACAGATTGCTGCACCACAAGCACATTGTGCACTTTTATCACCATTTTGAAGACAATGAGAATATCTACATCCTGTTGGAGTACTGTAGTAGAAAAGTGAGTGCAGCTGTTGGTTAAAAGCAAGTGATTTTCTTGTCGTCTAGGGTTATTTTTACGAAATGTACTTGAAAAGTGTCTCTAATTAACATTGTTTGTCATTTTGCAGTCGTTAGCCCACATCTTAAAGGCACGTAAAGTGCTCACAGAGCCAGAGGTGCGTTATTACCTGAGGCAGATTGTTTCCGGGCTAAAATACCTGCACGAGCAGGAAATCCTCCACAGAGATCTGAAACTGGGTAAGAAAATCCAAATGCTAACTTTTTTACAGCATTCTAGAAAGATGCAGTTTCATGGGTGTTTTCATGTCGATCGGGTCATCTGTTGGGGGTGTGTGTGTGTGAGTCTTTGATCTTGGTTTGAACACCAAGTGCTCACGGTTTCACTCACTTTCTTCCCTGCAGGTAATTTTTTTGTGAGTGACACGATGGAGCTGAAGGTCGGGGATTTTGGTCTGGCTGCCAAGTTGGAGCCGGCAGGAAACCGAAGGAAGACGATCTGTGGAACTCCCAACTACCTGTCTCCTGAGGTGCTCAACAAGCAGGGCCACGGCTGCGAGTCGGATATCTGGGCCCTGGGCTGCGTCATGTGAGTAGGACAACAGTAAATTCACTTTTGGAGAAAATCAAAGGCATCCTTGTTATGAACTCTGACTGAATAACACTCCGTGATGCCATTTCACATCAGATGCTATGGACAAAAAAAAAAACAAACTTAAAGTGCACAAAAAGTGAATGAAATCGGTGCGCTAATGGCCCTCTGTTCTGCTCCAGGTATACGATGCTGTTGGGTCGTCCCCCGTTCGAAACCACAAACCTGAAGGAGACGTACCGGTGCATCAGGGAGGCGCGTTACTCTCTCCCGTCCTCGCTGTCGCTGCAGGCCAAGCAGCTCATCGCCAACCTGCTGGCTAAGATTCCAGGGGACCGACCCGACCTGGACCACATTCTGAGGCACGACTTCTTCACTCAGGTTAGAAGACATCACCACCTCCCCATCTGTCTCTGCCACTCTGTCTGCAAATGCCACCATGTAGGGGTGACCCCCCCCCCCCAGCCCCCATCCTCCTCTACAGTTGCTGACTCGCTTTGTTTTTTTTTTCCTACAGGGCTTCAGTCCAGAGCGTCTGCCGCCTAGCTGCTGCCACTCGGCACCAGATTTCCACGTCTCTAGTCCTGCAAAGAGCTTCTTCAAGAAAGCTGCCGCCGCTCTGTTTGGTGGGAGAAGGGACAAGGTCAAGTACTACGAGACCCTGAGTGCGTATAGATCATCTGATGCACAGTTGTGACTTGTGGTAGCTGTGCGCTCACGTTTCCTTCTCCACGCTGCCTCATAGACAAGTTGACTAAGGAGGAAGAGGAGATCTACAAACTGCAGCATGACTTGGAGAGAACCGTCATCAGCCAGCAGCGGAGCAAAAAGACGTCTGAGGTGAGAAAAACAAAAACACACCGAGGAGAGAGTGGGCTTTATTCCAGCACGTTAGTCTCAAAGCGATTAAACTCGTGTAGATCCGAGATGCTCCGCTGTGGAGAATCTAGTGAGTCATTCCGAAGCTGTAGCAAACTGTCTAACGAGCAGAGTTTCAGAAGTGTATGAAAGCACTTATTTTCAACCTTTAAAGCCAGCCACTTTGAATCCGTGGGGGACCGCTGAGTCATGGTAGGAAGGGATGATCTGAACGCGCAACTTCTGAGCTCCTGTCGTCACTCGTTCTCACCTTAGAATGGAAGTCCACTTCCGCCATCTGCCGGGAGCCCCGTCGCCTTGGCAACAGAGAGTCAGTCTCCGACAACGCAAGATCCCATTCGTCTGATCGTCCGGGGGAGTCTGGGCAGCTGCAGCAGCGAATGTAAGTTTTCACTGGCTTTGTAGAGCACAAAGTGAATCATGATTTGCAAATAAATCAACAAAAGTCCGATACGAAAGCTTTTCGTCGCACAAACTGAACGCGTCCTATTGTTCCTGACAGGTTTGGAGGACAGCACGACAGGAAGTGTTGCTGAGACCGTTGCTAGTGTGCTGAGAGGCTGTTTGGAGAACATGCCCAAAGGTAAGAAGTCTCTTTTAAGATGAGTGGATTGAATGTTTCCCTAAAAGATTCCCTTTGATCGCGTCCTAATCCTCGGCATCTCTTGCTGCCCTGCAGCCAGCGACACTCCTCAGTCGTTAAACAGCTTAAACCTTCAATGGGTGACGAAATGGGTGGACTACTCCAACAAGTACGGCTTTGGCTACCAGTTATCTGATCACACCGTGGGAGTCCTCTTCAACAACGGCACCCACATGAGCCTCCTGCCAGATAGAAAGTATGCTGATCTTTCACAACACTTAAAAAAAAAAACGATTAGTCATCACATTCAATGGAAACGACTCGTTTTATGATCTAGATGCTGTTTTTTTTTTTTTTCCTAACTGGCTCTTGTTCATTCTCCTTTCCAGAACCATTCATTACTACGCCGAGTTGGGTCAGCGCTCCGTCTTTCCCACTTGCGAGGTTCCTGAGCACTTTGTGGGCCAGGTGACTGTGCTCAAGTACTTTTCACACTACATGGAGGAAAATCTCATGGATGTAAGTAAAATACCGGTTCCCCCACCCTTGTGTGCTTGTTCCGAGCTACATCCCTCTTTGCCGTTGCTCCTTGTTTGCCTTTCCACACCCTGAAGGCATCAGCGGCTTTCAAGTTGCAGCAGGTCTGATCCTGATGTGTTTTCAGGGCGGAGACCTTGGCACCTTAATGGATGCACACTTGCCCGGACTCTACCTGCTGCAGTGGCTCAAGTCCGACCGCGCCCTCATGATGCTGTTTAACGACGGCACTTTCCAGGTAAACGCACCTTCTGCTACTAGAGACACAGCCGTTGCTGAGCATGCTCGGATGAGCAGAGTGTAGCTACAAACCAAAAACATGATGGCGTCTTCCTTTTTTAATTTCCAAAGGTCAACTTCTACCACGATCACACCAAGATCATCCTGTGCTGCCACAGGGATGAGTACATGCTGACGTACATCAATGAGGAACGTGTGTCTAAAACCTTTAAACTCGGCTCCCTGCTGACATCCGGCTGTCCCGCTGACCTGCGTCAGCGCATGGTCTACTCCCTCAATATGCTCCTGCAGAGGTGCAGCTGAACCAGCAGGAGTGCGTTGAGGAGAACTGAAAACCGGACGGTCTATCCGCTGTGTCGCCGCAGAGGAACGCGGACACGGTGGACTCATGAAAGATGGGCGGATTGCAAAAATAAACGAACGCTCCTACAGCACCGCACCGTGGCGCAGGCGAAGCCGTACCACAGAGACTGAGGAGATGAGATGTAGCACAATGAATGTCGACGTTAAAGGGCTGACTTGTACGTGGAAGGTTGGAAGGAAGGAGTGTGTTGGGACTAAAGAGAACACAGATGATTTTTTTTAAAGGGGAATAAGGAACAGATGAGTAAATCCAAATGCTGGGCTGGTACCAGCTGTTTCTGTGTACAGTTCAGTTTAACTCCAGAGACATAAACCGACCCTCTGAACTCAACTGTGCTGTGTTTAATTTCCCTCTGGGATTAATAAAGTGTGTTTGAATTTGTAAATGATGTACATCCCAGCCATCCCAGCGGTGGTTTTGGCTGTTTCTACGCCACAGGTGTGCATCTGTCCGAGTGGGAAAAGGTGTCACTTTTAAAACTGTGATTTGTTCTCTTCATTGACAGACCGGCTCAGCTGGGAGCTGGAAGCGTGATGTGGGGAAGGGAAGGGGCGAGATGAGAGAACGGCATAAAAAGAAAAACAACTGTACTAGAGATCTTTTATGGATCCATAAGGAACCATTATCACCTTGTTTTTTTATGTCCTTAATAACTTATTGTGCAAGATAAGTGCAGTATTTATTTATTTAATAAACAAGAGTGTTTTCTAAAAAAAAAAAAAAAGGTATGTGTTTTTCTCTTCTGTGCACAAACACTTAGTTGCTGTCCTGTTCTGTCTGTGTCCTGAAAATAGAGGCGGTGCGTCCATTTTTCTTTATTTTTCCTGGCATTTAGGAAGCTTCTCTTTCCCAAAAGAGAGATTGAAGCTTTAATAATGCTCACATATTTGCACTGAGCCGAGTCGATCGAGTATTTTATCTGGAGATAACGACAGGAAATGGGTGCTCTGAGGGCTGTGGGTAGAGGAGGGGTAGAACATGTTTACAGGAAGGTTGTTTGGTTCAAGGCTCTGCCTTCTGCTGGGCATTTGTTTTCTGCAGCCATTATGGAGGATTGCAGTGATGACTTGTCTGTCCAAAACGGCTGACCTTGTCTCTCTAATACACACACACACACAAGCGCTCATTATGTCCCATACACATCTGTTTGCCAGACATGTGGATGGGGAGTGTTCAGAAATGTGGAAAAGAAAAGATGGAGAAACTCAGATCTACCGACAAACGCACAGACCAGCTGGTGAACCTGTGTCATCGATTGCATCACTGCTTTTCAGGGAAAGTCACTTCAGTCATCCTTGAACATCCTTTCACATTCACTCGCTGTTTCCATGGAAACAAGCAACTCGTTGACCAAATTCATGAGCTGGATCTCGACGAAGCCTGCGTAAAAGAACGCGTTTAGTCCATGTCTCCTGAACTCGGGAGGTGATGAGCGCGAGAGACCGCCGAGCACTCGTCGGTCTCTGCGGCGATCGTTCTTTGTTCTCCACTCTGGTGTTTGATTTACCCGTCTGTCGAACACCTCTCCTCCTTCCAGCCTTATGCAACAACAGGAGCCGAACGTGGACGTTTGAGTCATCCCGCTTTTAGACCTTCACTTGAAATATCCGCACTCTTCTGGAGTTCAATAATGAATAAACAGACCCACGCAGACAGAACCAGGACAGGAAGTAACCTACAAGAAATTATTCATGACAACACCTCCAGGTCTGAGTGTGTGTGTTTTGACAGTAATGGCCTCTGGAATGGATGCTTTCATCTGTCCGGACCGTTTTCCACCACTGATGGGAAGTTTTCAGGCCTTAAAGGGCTTCTGTTTTAGATTCTGGCCCTAACATCTGCTCAAAAGTGCTTTATTTTAGGCGTATGGATGCTCCGAGCGGGCAAATGGAAAAAATAGATTGTTCTCTCAGGTTCTGTGAATGAGAACAATCTATGTTAAGATTCTATGCACGTGCACAAATTCAGGTCACAACGGTAGTTGGTCAGCAAATGCTCACACTCACCTTAGTTGTCTCATGGGATTTGTTTCATTTATGTGAATAAGAATAAAGCAGTCGTAATTCACACAGGAGTCCAACAAGATTGTGAGCTCACCTGATGTTGTTAGGGACATTAGTGAGTTCAGCGTCTCACAAAAAAGGGCCGACATGTCTTTTTTATACACATTGATGGATTCTCTGTCTGATGGGAATGCTGTCAGTCATGCGAGTGGACTTTGTTTCAATGAAGATGTTTTATTTTCAGATATTTTTGTAAGAAAAACTAACAAGAGAAAAGTCTTTAGTCAGCGGTGTCCATTCCTGGTCCTGAATGGCCATCATCCAAACCTAGAATGTGAACCGTCATTGGCATGTCGGTCTAGCAACACTCCACAGCCCCGGCCATTATTGTAGCTGACCAATCACAGCGTGTTTAGTTACAAAAACAATGTATTTTTGGCCGTGTTCGAGATAAGCGGTGATCGGCGAGCAGTGCATGCCGGTTAGATTTGACTTGCTCTGACGTCATGCATACGTAGGCAACGATAACCTCGTGAGATCAAGGCGGCCGCAGATTTTGGAGCAAGGCGCAGCAGTTGCTCTCCACCGGCTGCAAAACCTAGAGGATGACGGGAAACACCTGGCTCTCACCTGATCTAAGATCTGATTGGTTCATATTTGGATCCAAACATCTGGTGATAGAACATGAAATGTTAATTGGTCACATGTATTCTGTAAATCATGTTAAGTTGATGATGACTACAATACAGGCCATGAAGAGAAATTTGTTTTGTGTTATTTTGTCACGTTTCCTATGAGCACACTAAAGCTACAGCTGCTAACCTTTACTTATTATTACAGTCATGTCTTCATATATAACATATGATGTCCACAAGCATGTGAGGATGTGTTTCAGCTGCTAACAGGCACCTGAATTAAAATGGAAAATTAAACAAGTGTGAACGCTAACGCGATACCTTCATCCATCGTCACCCGTGAGCTACACATGTAGGGAAATCTGTCCGACTTTAACGCCGGTTTTCAGCCACTCCCCCTGCTGCTTCCGCCTGCTCTCGTCTGCTTTCCAGACGAGGCGCTGCTCAACTCGAACAAGGCCAGTGTCTTCTGTCCTGCTTATGTGTGGTGGACCGCCCTGTTGACTGACATCTGCAACGGTCCAATCACAGCACTCTGTTGATTTGGTAGGCCAATCACAGCACTCTGTTGGTTTGGTAGGCCAATCACAGCACTCTGTTGGTAGGTGGGATGTTACTGAAAAAAAAAAACAAAGATGGTGACTGCTTGTTTGAAACAGCTTTGGCATCAAAGCTTTTTAGACTTGGGCTTATCTTTGAGTCAAGAGCGCACACAGGTACTTAAGTTTATTTAAAGAAAGGATGTATTTGCATCTTCTTTGACGGAGTATGGCGGATTGCCTGGTTGACTGACATCTGTAAAGGTGAGTATGTCACATTGTTTGTTATTATTGTTATAGAGCATATGAAGACAGTTTGAAAGACACCCAGATAGATCCCACTCCACGACTGAGAGCCATCAATGGGCCGTGGCCAGACTATGCCTTCTCATTTATCAGATGGCTTGCCAGGCTACCACCATCCTGTATATTTTACAGGTTTCCTTGCTTAGGCCATGTACACGTGTAGTCAGGTTTTTGTAATACCAATTATTCCACCGCCCATCTATGGAAAACAAAAAAACATGTGTCCACAATACCTCGTTTTCAGCAATAAACCTTGTTAATTGTGAAGCACATAGGCATAGGCATGCCAAGCCTGTAGGTGGCTGCATTTCCCCAAATTGCCTCTGCCCTTGCTTAAAAGCATTCCTCAGACATGGAATTACTATGTGGTGGGTAGTAACCATCCTTAACATTATCGTTCGCCTGTTGTTTTCTACACAGAACAGTAAAAACAAGCAAGTGTAAACACAGGTCGCACATGTGATGTCAGAGCACTTCTGTCGCATGCGTTGCAAAACCCAAAACTGCAGTTATTTATGTCCACGAGCAAAGGCTGACAACAGAGAGTTCTCAAATGTCCACTTTGGTTGGAAAGAGTCATTTTTAGTGCTGTGGAAGACGGGCCAAACCGTAGAACATCTTAGTTTGGTGGGAAAACCCGGTGTGTACAGGTCTTACTTTAACACACTTGTTTTCAATCAGTGGGCAATTAACAGGTCAATGTTGAACTTGATGACTTGCTAAACAGGTAAGCTATTGAATCAGGTGTGTTGAGCAGGGAAACAAATGAAATACACAGACTGGTGAGGACCAAGGTCAGACAACTTTGTATTTTGCTACCAATGTTCAAGCCTTGTTACCTTGTGATCTACAGTCTTTTGACCAACTTCCAAAGGTTTTCTTTGGACTCTGGCTCTTTTTTCACAGTTTCAGTTACAGTCTACATTAAAGAATGAAAAGACTCCCAAACTCAAGGGATGTTGAGGCATAACTTTAAGAGACAATGTGTATTTGTTACCATTAGGCCTGGGGCGCACTGGAGACAGATGTCAGTTCCTTGTTTGTATTGTTATACCTGCTCCTGTGTTTGAGTCCTACCTCTGCTAAAAAAAACTTAGACACATTTCTTCCAATTTCTTTGCTTATTTCTATGAGAAGACCAAAGATAGATGGACCTTTAAAACAACATAAAAATGGTAAATGGCCTGTATTTGACATAGCGCCTTCTAGAGTCCTGGAACCCCCAAGTCACTTTACAACACAATCAGTCATTCACCCATCCACACACACATTCACACCCTGTTGGTGATGAGCTACATTGTAGCCACAGCTGCCCTGGCGCGCACCGACAGAGGCAAATCTGCCGTACACAGGCACCACCGATCCCTCCGAACACCACCAGCAGGCAAGGTGGGTTAAGTGTCTTGCCCAAGGACACAATGACAGCGACAGACTGAGTGGGACTCGAACCTGCAACCTTCCAATCACGGGGCGAGCACTTAACTACTTGGCACTTAGCATTGAAAGACCTTCAGAAATTCGAAAGAACTCCAGATCAAGACCAGATTAGAATTGTTAAAGAAGGTTTGGTCCCTCAGAACCACAACTGTAATAAAAGGGGTGGTTTAAACACGTGCACGGTGCTGTACATTATAAAGTTTTCCACAGGCAGAAGAGTGAGTCAGTTTGTTATTAAAAGTCGTTGTAGGCATGAGCAGAAAGACAAAAAAGCTTTGTTGCACACAAACTGAGATGCACTCGGGGATTAGAAGCCTTTGCCTATCAAATGTCAGCACTCCTCCTCCTACTCTTTGGACCAAAACAGATGCACTGTGGAGGGAGCCGGGATGAGTGCGGAGCTGCCCGTTCTCTGCTCCTACAGCCACCTTTAGACCAAAGAAATGAGCAATGCACACTGTAATA